GTGCCCATGCACACACACGTGCCCACCACCCACACGTACCCATGCACACACACGTGCCCACCACACACACATGCCCATGCACACACACATGCCCACGCACACACACACGTGCCCACGCACACACATGTGCCCACATCACAATTGCATCATTTGGTGCAGACTTGCTTCTTACCTGGATCAGTCTGCGTCTCAGTGAATGGAAGTTAAGCGTTGGCTTGGTCCTGGATTTGGGCCTGAGAGTGAAAGCCAAGGGGTCCAGCAGTACCAGGGAGAGGAGTGCCAGACCTGTGTGGCCGACGACCACTGAGGTGTGGGGCAGGCTACCTGGCCATTTTCCAGATGGGGTGCTAGTAAAGAGGAAAGAGGTGAAAGAAGGAGCACGGAGAGGCAAGGGTGTCCTCCTCATCTCTGTTTGTGATCGTGCAAGAGGAGGCAATTCTCGACAGTGGTGGGAGCACGTGTTCGGGACGTCCCCATGAAGCCACCAGGGGCATTTGCCGTGGACCATTTTTACTATTTGGGACTTTGTTGTTCAGGACTACCCTGACACACACCCACCTACTGCCACCAGTACCTCAGTCAATGAAAATGTCACCTCTCCATTTCTCAAAAGCCCCCGGGCTAGAGCGGGGTCACAGACCGAGTGAGTTTGACAGGACCCTGGCTAGGTTTCATTTGGCCCTGAAATGTTTTTTTTTAAAAATTGGAATTGCTTGTCTCTTTTTCCTCTGATGTTGGGGATCAAATCTAGGGCCTCACACCTGCTAGGCAAGAGCTCAGTCACCAAGTTGCACCCCCAGCTGGTTGACCTTTGTTGGAGATTCACAAGCACAGGTTTTCACAGTTACACACTTTGCCTGACTCTTGGGGATGTGTGAACCTTCTGTCCTGGTGAGTGAACCTCAAGCTGCAGACTGCACGGGAAGGACATCCCAACAGAACCGCTTTCCTGGGACACTCCCTTCTGCTGAAGAAGGAGATCCCCACCTGCAATCGCAAGCGCAAACCAAAGTGCCATGGGTAAAAGAAACCAAAGCGACAGCTCAACGCGCTCTTTCTTTTTCCGGCAGAGTTACATATCATTGTGGGACTCAGCTTGGACATTTTTGGAAGCATAATCTGTGGATACTGGTGTGCAAGAGTCATCCAGTTTATACTGACTGACATTTTTAGCAATACACTGACCAATGTCATCCTGTGCTTTTCAATGGTGTATATGACTTTCTACGTGGGTAAGGCAAAAATAAGTATTGCTTTCACACTCTTTTTCTTCTTCTGTGTCTGATTCTGATGTTTTTAATGTGCTATTTGCAGATTTTTCAACCTGGGGCTGTTGGGTTTTGGGGATATTCAGACATTCTTCATGGTTGGTATTTTTGCCTCAGACTAGATTCACCCATTTGTTTAGAGCCCAGGGAATTCCCGCTGTGGTTAGGAAGGCAAAAGCAAGACAGGATTCGGGGTTGGGGGACTGTGGTCAAGGAAGCCCTGAGACGGGCCTGCAGCCCTGGCCCGGGGGGTGTCCTGGAGGTGCTCAGCAGAGATGGCGAAGCCGCCTTTTCCATCGGCACCATCCTCAACTGGGTCAAATCTGCTCGGTTTTGGACAGCCTGCTAACTAAGAACGGTCTTTACATCATAAGATGGCTTAAAAAAGAAGAAAAAGGAAGAAAAATACTTTATGGCGTGTGAGGATTGTGTGAAATTCAAATCTCAGTGTCTAGACAAAGTTATTTGAATACACATTCATTTGTCTGTGCATTATCTGTGACTGGGTTTGCGTTACAGGGCCTGAGTCAAGTTGTGACAGGTGCCTGAATGGCCCCCAAAGATTAGACATTTACTATCTGGCTCTTTACAGAAAAAGTTTGCTAGCTTCTGATCCCATCCGGCAGATCCTCTGAAGCAGCATTGTAAGGAAAAAATCCCATTCTCAAGTGCCCCCCGCCCCAATTCTTCACCCGAGATAAAATGCCTCAGTGTGCAGAGTTAATGGCGCATTCGTTTCACTTCTTCATTTTCTCTCCCCAGTGGAATATTTTGGAATGTCAGGCATTGTGGCTTTGGCCACTGTAGGACTGAATTTAGATTCCTTAAGCTTCAAGCCCAGGATGGAGTTCATAATCACGAAGTAAGTTTCCTGTTGTGTACGTGCTGTAGAGATCATGGAAGGTGGACGCTTCACTAGGCTCCCTGTAGGAGCTCTGAGCCAGCTGGGATCAGAGGTGTGTGCCACCACGCCCAGCCACAGAGCCCTGTAAAATGTTGTCTGCAGAACAAGTGATGAAAGCAAGGGCCTTCACTTTCAAGGGCTTTCACCCGAGAAAGACGGGCATGAGGCAGATGTGTTTGTGTGAAAAGAAAAGAGTTTTAAAATGCATTGCTTACAGTGGCATCCTTTTCCTTCGCCCTAGGTTCTTGATCATATTTTCCTCTATGTACCACCATTTGATATACACTTTCTTCGGCATCGTGGTTGGATGTGGAGAAATCAAGCATTTTAGTTTCCACACCGTCGTTTTCATTTTCATCTTGTTTGTGACAGTGAATTTTGTAAGGTAATAATTATATTTTAAAGCTTGTTTCACTGAGCTTAGATTCTTTTTTAAAAATTTGTTTTTTAGTTACACACGACAGTAGAATGTATTTTGATGAATTACATATACCTGGAGTATAACTTCCCATTCTTTTGATTGTACATGATGTGGAGTTACACTGGTCGTGTATTCATATATGAACAGAGGAAAACTATGTCCAATTCATTCTACTGTCTTTCCTATTCTCATCTCCCCTCCTTTCCTTTCCTTCCCCTATGTTTAATCCAGTGAACTTCTATTCTTCACTCTCCTCCATACCCTTATTGTGTGTTAGCATCGGCATATCAGAGGGAACATTCAGCCTTTAGTTTTGGGGGATTGGCTTATTTAACATAGCATAATATTTTCTACTCCATCCATTACTGGCAAATACCATCATTTCATTCTTCTTTATGGCTGAGTAATATTCCATTGTGTATATGTACCACAATTTCTTTATACATTCATCTATTGAAGGGCTCCTAGATTGGTTCCATAGCTTAGCTATTGTGTATTGAGCTGCTATCAATACATGGGGCTGTGTCACTGTACTATGCTGATTTTAAGTTCTTTGGGTATAGAACTAGGAGTGGGATGACTGGGTCAAATGGTGGTTCCATTCCAGGTTTTCTGGGGAACCTCCATACTGCTTTCCATAGTGGTTGCACCAATTTGCAGCCCTACCATAAGCTTAGTTCTCGAGCCCAGAATTGGGAAGCAGGGAACACAGACAGAGCAATTGTGGCTGTGAGGTGCAGAGGCTGCCTGGTTGCCGGGGGCGCAGGCTGGGCTGCTGTGCAGGTGGGGAGCGTTTCTTTTCCAAGGTTTCACCTGTGAATTGAGAGAAGGTGGACCACCAGCAGCAGCCCCACTCCTGAGCCTGCCAGGCATGAAAGTTCATGGCCCCGTTCCAGAGGTTCTCCTGCGTGGAGGCTGTGGAGGTGAGAGAGGAAGTGGGTTTAACAAGCTCTCCGGGGGGTTCAGACAGGTTCAGGTGGGAGCACCACTGGACTAGACTAATGGCTCTTAACATTTTGGTGGACTTTCATCATCATTTTTTTTTTTTTGGTGATCCATCGTTAGGATAAAGTCATTTATGGAGCACTTTCCATGCACGATTCGCCATTAGTATGAGTGAAGCCCTTGAGACAGGGTTCCTCATCAGATCTCAGCTGAAGCCCAGAGACTCCAGATCCAGCCCAGCAACTACCTGTGGGCACATGGTCTGGGATTGGGATTTAAGTCTGGTCCACGAGGGACGAGGCATGCTTCCAGAAGGCCACTGCCTGCTCCCGATAGCTGTGTCCTCCGTGGGACTCCATGGCCGTGCCATTGCCACACAAGGCCATGGCCAAGGGAGCCTGGGTTGTAAGATGTTCTCCTGGATTCTCACTTGTCCTTTCTCCAGGGGCACCGTGTGCAGCCGCAGTCCTGCCCGCCCTCTCCATCCTCTGCCCCGTCCGTTCTGGGCCTGGTCTTGGTGCCCACCTGCTACACCTATGTGGCTGTCCAGTCAGTAGTTATCTAGTATTATCTTTTCTCTGCTTTCCTATCTGGACAACTTTTAAAAAAACCTGAGTTAGTCATTGCTTCCTAGAATAATTTGTGTGCTTATTTCTAAGCGCAAATTCCACCTCTCACACTTGTTAGCTTTGTCACTATGTAACTTTGAGCACTTACTTAAGTTCCAGTGTACTTATCTAAAGCACCACATTGGTTGGCTTCTGAGTTGAAGGACCACTTATTTCCCAAGGCAAGTTTGCACAGCTCTGCAACCCAAGGACTTATAGCGGAACTGGTTGAACTAGTATCCTCCAACCCCAGACCAAAAAGTGGGAAGGAGAACAGTGTCTGGATGCCACCCTCGGTTTGTGGGACTGGAGAGGGGGATGGCAGAGAGCAGATGTGGGCAGACAAACCCTAACTGTAAGCAGAGGTGACTGACTTGCCACTTTTCCAAAGCCTGAAGAATTCTCATAGGTCTGGAGTCAGGGACTCAAAAAACCTTCAAACTGGAGTAAGCATTCTGGGGCCACGTGAGGTGAAGACTGGGGTGTGGAGGGAATAGCTACCAATGCTTTCTGTTCAAATCCTTCCATTGCTTTGAAAGTTCTTTCTCATTGTGAGAAAATCAGGACAGCCATATTATAATAATAACAAAAACAGCAACACGGGACCAGACTCTTGGACTTGCAGTACCTCCTGTAGTTTTCAGTGCCAGCCTTGCACACAGTCTGATTATGATTATGATCATCTCCATCTGAACTATAGTGCACAGATCCCCTCGGGATCCTATAGAGAAATGACCTAGATAGAAAGAAGGCACAAGTTGAAACGATTTGTGTGACATTTAGTGGATGATTCTATGGAAGCTAAGGAAAATTTTGGTTGGATGAAGTTTATTCATGTAGCTACAATATGTCTTCCCATTCCGGATTCTGAATCCAGTCATTTTATGACCCTTCAGGGAATAGATGATCTTGTCCACGTTCTTTGAAGAGGTCTCCATGCCGGCATTTACCACCCACATGCAAATAGTACACAATAGTGTTAATGATAAGTCACTGTTTGTATACATGGAACTCCAAGCATTATTTTTCAAGACTTGGTATTACGCAGAAAATTTAGATAGATTTGTTTAGTCCCAGAAAACTTGATTGACTTACTGTGTCATCTCTCTTTCTTGAAAAATTTAGGATTGAGTAGATGGTTTCGTCTGTAAGTAACATTCATATGCGAGGTGTGATTTATTCGTTTTCAATGTTTTCTGTCCACAGGTTGCTTACTGTTATTTTTGTGACCCCGATTTTGATGCATTCCAGTTATGAGTACAGTTGGCGATGGGGAATTGTCATCGCGTGGTCTGGAATTAAAGGAGTTTTTAGCTTACTTTTGTCTCCTGATATTTATAATCTGGCTGATCAAAAAGTAGCGGCACCACACATGGTAGGGAAAAAAGAATCACGTCTCATGGTTCCTAGTATTTATGCACTTTTTCTTATCTTGTGGTACTTGTTACTATACTCAGATAATAAAGTTAACTGGTTTTGAATTAGATTTTTTAAATGCATCCTTTTAAATAGAAGGGACTCAGAGGAAAGTTCTTTAATGTTGACCTTGTGACAGGGACCAGTGGTCATGTGTTTAGGACAGGGGTGCTAAGGAGACTTGCCTTACCGTCCTGACTCTACCAGTCCTGGTCTGGGTGATCTTGCAGAAGTTCCCAGCCTTGCTGAGCCTCAGTTTCCAGTGGAGGCTGGAGATGATGCTTACTAAAACACCTGACCCTTTATCCATGCTCCATAAATGTCGTAAAACTATACAAATGCTCTTTTTCAATTGATGTCAGAAAGCATGGAAAAAAATAATGCCCTTATGGAGAGCATTCCCATCCCTACATCTGTCAGAACAAAACGGAAATGCTGGTGAAGTATACTAAGGCCAGAAAGATTTTAAACAGTGTTGCATTAAGAACTGTTACCACGTGGTCTGGAATGAAAGGAATTTTTAAGAGGAAGTGCTTTTCTTGATGGAATATCATATTCCTCACCACATCTATCCTGAAGATTTATATACGTGGGCTTCACATGGGAACATGGGAGTTCCAGTAAGGTGGCTTGTCCTTCCCTACTCCAGAAGAAAATCATGATAACCAACATTTCAGCTCCTTTGATTCTCTTATATGCAATGAGTTGGCTTAAAACCAAGCCGACAAGATGTTAACTCGCATTTGGGTACCATTTCATAGTGTTTCCTAACTCTGTCTGATGTTAAGGTCCTCTTGGCTCTGCGATCTGTGATCACGATCTGCAGAATCAGGATGTTCACCAGGCACACGAGGGGACTGTTACCAGTCAGATGGGAAACACCCTGGAGAGATCTACTTACGGTGAGGGGCTCAGAGGGGCTGACTGGCCTCAATCACAGGGTTAATACACGGCAGAGCCCAGGCTTACAGAGGCACTTGTCTATTTTTTTGTGTGTCTGGTGCCTCCCCAAACTGCACCTCAGCTCCAGCCTGCTCCCTCACGGCCTCTCAGTAGCCACGGTAGGTGCTGGTGGCAGGTGTATGTCCCTGTCCTGCCTGGCTGCTGCGGGGTGTCTCCCCATCCTGCATGTTGTACAGCCAGGTCAGTGATGGCTGAAAGCTCTTCTCTCAGCGTCCTTATCTGGCACAGCCTATTACTTTTCCTTTGTTCACATTCTTCCTGGTATAATTTCTTCCCTGGTCTATCGTGTTCAAACAGTGTCCACAAAACTGACCTTTTGCCTCAGCTTATTTACTGGAGACAGTGTAAAGATTAAAGACAAAAGATTAAGGTGGAATTGTGTTGGTGGTTAAATGAGCAATGCTTGCCTTTTGAAAACTGAGGTGGTATTCTCTTTCTAATCATCTGTATGCTTTGTTTTTAGTTTATTTTCTATGTACAAGTGATATCGTTATTGACTATGGCAATAAATTCATACATGATGACTTTCTCGGCTAGGACTTTAGGTAAAGTATATGCATAATCGTTTCCTAACTGGGGAGAAAAATGCAAATAAGTTACTGCTGCGGGTAATGCAGACATTTCTTATGAAGTTCAAGGAACTGGTTTCGAGGCCAGTTATTTTCATTTACTCGTTATCTTTGTGGATAACAATTAATAAAGATGCTGTGTAATTGTAATATTGGTTCATCTGGTGTAGCAGAAGCCAAGTGAACAGAGGCTTAAATAAGACACAGGAATCTCTTTTCCCCTCACTGCAGAATCCAAAAGAGTGGGATGGTTCTGCTGCACCAGGTCATCCAGGGGTCCAAGTTCTTCCCTTTCTGTTGCTCCTCTGTTCTGTAGGGTGCTCCTCTAGTCTGCAGGGCAGGAGATCGCTCATTACCACCTATTATCCAAGCAACTAGAAGAGGAAGTGGGGATAGGTGGGTGGGTGGGGGTAAGCATCTAACTTTTAAAGGTACAATCCAGAACTTAATATCTATATAACCAGAACTTAATATCCAGAATCTAATATAAATATCCAGAATTTAATAAATTTATCCAGAATTAAATCACGTGGCACACATTCGTAAGGGAAGATGGGGAATATCATCTTTTACTGGCTGGCCATGTATTCACCCCCAGTTCAGATATCGTATTGGTGGATAGGATAAGGAAGAAGAAGAGAATGGACATTGGAAGACAAGCCCCAGGCTCTGCCACCGTTGTCTACTTCTAGTAGGAATTTGAGCTTGATAATAGTAATTAGTGTACATGTGATTAAATCCAAACAGGAACATTTTCTGTGATCTCAAAGGTATTTGAAACTTGTTTATCATAAAATGCATAAATACAATAAAGTTACAAGAGACACATCCAGTTGAGAAATCCAGGATCAGATGGCTGGCAGCAGTGGGCAAGGGGGAGGGAGCTGGGGTGGGATTAGGCAGTCCTATAGGAGGGTCGGCTCCTCAGCTCTGCTGGTCGAGAACTGATTCCATCAGGGAATCTAGAATGGATCAGACTACTAGAAATTTACATATCCCCACTCACTTGTTCACAGATAAACCACAAGATCAACTCACTAATTTAAAGAGGGATGGTTTCCTTCCATGTCTGAAATACTTGGTATCATTATCAGAGTAGCCACCTCTGAATGCCCATAGCCTTGATAAACCAAGTTAGTAACTCTGGGAGAGCACAGCCAGCGAGAACAGAGGAGGGATAACATTTGCGCGTGCAGATTTGCTGGCCAGAGAAAGGTATTAAATGTGAGGTGTCTCTATTGGCTTTCACATTTCATTGTGGATAAGAAACAGCTGAAGAACTTGTTAAAAATGCAAATTCTCAGGCCAGCCTGATTCGGAGGGTATGGACAGAGCCCAGGAATTTGACAGTTTGATCAGCAGCCCTTCTACCTGGAGAAGACACAGGTAGTTTCCCACATTTTGAGAATTACTGGTAGGGTGCCTTGACATATTAAGTCATGCCTTTAGCAATTGGGCCAGATGCAGTTCGGTTATAGAGCCAAAGGAAACAGGGGGTGGGGTGATTCTGTGGGAAACCTGGGAGCGAGCCGTGCCCCTGCCCTCTGCTCTGGTTTGGCTGTGCAGGTGAACCCAGGAGCTCGCGGCAGGGTCGTCCCCAGTCCGTTCTCCCTAGCAGTCCTCACTGTGCTGCTCAGGCCCTTGCTCTTCTTTGTCACAGGTTTTTGTGCGATTTCCCTCCCAAGACAAATGGCCATGCAAAATGCCATTCAGCACATTCAGGAGATAATACAGAACACAACCACTTTATACAAGACCGAAAAGATGTTGACAAACGTCAACTGGACTTTAGTGGAAGAAAAAGCGAAGATCGAATACATCATTCCGGTGAGTTGGTGCCTGACAAAAAATAATCCTCTTTTCCTTCCCTTGGTCTGTCTGCCTGGCCTTATAGTCTGTAAAAAGAGAGAGAGAGAGAGAGAGAGAGAGAGAGAAAGAGAGAAAGAAAGAAAAAAGAAACCTGCTTCTGCTAACCCAATATCAGAAAACTCAGGAGTTTTGCCACCTTGGGGAAATGACTTTGAATTCTTTCTCCAAAGAGAAGGTCTTGATGGTTAGCCTCATTTGCCAAATGTGAGGAGAATGGATGTTTTCACAGACTGGCTGATGGGGCAGCAGGAGAGATTATGCTTCCAGTGGGTAGAGATACCAAGAGATGGCTCCCTGTGTAAGTGTCCTAAGAAGCCCAAAGCAGGGCAATCTAGAGAGTAGCCAAGCATGGAGAGTTTGGAGAAAAATTTGGCTATCTATGTTTATTTCACCACAATTGAAAAACGCACTTCTCATATGGCGAAACAGTTCCCAGCTTATGCACGGCTCCTTATCTGAGCAACTCTGAGTCACTGAGATCTTTGTTGAGTATAGCCTTGCTATCTTCTAATAATTTTTTTACCTATTTTTAACTTCATCTCTTTGTTTTCTACAATTTAGTCAAATGCTGTTCCACTTTCCCATGTTGTACATGATGATGAAACAGAGCAGTCCCCGACAGATGAAGTTTTAATAGAAGAAGCCAGATTGCACGTGGCGATAATACAAATGGTTGGTATTGCTGCCGCCGCCTCTTCCTCCTCCTCCTTCCTCTTCTTTCTCTTCCTTCTCCTCCTTCCTCTTCTTTCTCTTCCTTCTCTTTTCCTCCTCCTCCTGTCCCCATTCCTCTCTTCCTCTTTCTCCCCTTCCTCTTTCCTCTCCCCGTTCCTCCCCTCCCTTCTCTTTCTCTTCTTTCCCTCAGCGACTCTTTTCCTCCTTCACTGAGAATTGAACCCAAGGACTCTTTACTACTGAGCTACATCCTGGACCTTCCCTTAGGTCCTTGCTAAGTTGCTGAGGCTGGCTTTGAACTTGTAGTCCTCCTTCCTCAGCCTCCCAAGCCACTGAGTTATAGGTGTGGGCCACCCTGTCTAGCTCTGTAGCTGTGTGGGTTTGTCTCTGTGTCTCCATTCTATTCCATTGGTCTATGCATCTGTATCCCCCCCCATTACCCTATAGTTTTTGTTACTAGGGCTCTGAAGTAAAATTTGAAGTTGGGTATTATGATACCTGTAGCATTGCTTTTTGGGAGCTCAGGATTACTTTGGCTATTCTGGGTCTTTTGTTCTTCCATATGAATTTTAAAATTGTTTTTTCCAATCATGTGAAGAATATCATTTGTACTTTGATGTGGCTTGCATTAAATGTGTAGATTACTTTGGTTATGTCTGTTTTAACAAAATCAATTCTGCCAATCCATGAACATGGGAGATCCTTCCAATTTATAATGCCTTCTTCAATTTTCTTTCGACTGTTCCTTTATTTTCCTTATAGAGATCCTTTACCTCCTTAACTAGGTTTCTTCTTAGATATTTTGGTTTTTTTGAAGCTATTTTGAATGGAAAATTTTCTGATTTATTTCTCAAAAGGTTCATTATTGGCTTTCAGAGAAGCTATTGACTTAAAAATTTTTAAATTTTTTTTTAGTTGTAATTTTTTATGTCCGTTTGGACATAACTTTATTTATTTTTTTACGTGCTGCTGAGGATTGAACCCAGTGCCTCAAATATGCTAGGCAAGATTCTACCACTGAGCAACAATGTCAATCCCTAGCTACTGATTTTTATACACTGATTTTGTATCTAGTAGTTATTTTTGAGGGTCTTTAGAGTAATTATTAATGTCATTTACATACTTAGATAAACAGCTTTAAATATTTGAAACTGTTTTTTACAAATTTGACATAGTTGACTTCCTCTCATACAAAATTTCCTTGTTTCTAAAAAAAATTTATTTTAGTAATATAAGCTAAAGTAAATCTGGTGAACCAAAAAATTCTCTTCAAATTTTGGTACTAATAATTTACATGTTCTAACATACACACAGGAATATTACTAGGTAAAATAAAGTTTGAGTCAATTATATCAGGTTTAAATTAGGTTTCTATTTAAATAGGACAAATTTTATTTGATATAGCAAGTGTATAATATACTTACTGTGTTCACATTCTTCTTTTTTACTTTCTTTTAAAAACTCATTGTCATGAAGAATTCCTAACATACACAAAGGTGGTGTAATATGTCACCATGTGCCCACCACCCAGCCTTAACAATTATCCACACACAACCAATCCTGCCCCCTCTGCCTCTTCAATCACTCCCCCACCTTCCATATTATTTTGAAATAAATCCTGGGTGTCATATCACTTTATCTGTAAATATTTCAAAATGTATATGTAAAATTTAAAGTCTTTTAAGAACATAGTAAAATGCTAATATTGTTCCTAAAATTAATAATTACCTAATAAGAATAGATATCAAACCAATAACATTTTCAGTTGTCTTAGAAATATGATACATGCTTACCTTACAGTTTATGCTTTCAAATTGAGTTTTGTTGAAGTTCACACACTGCAACTAACCAATATCTCTATTAAGTCTCTTATAATCTGTAGATCCTTCTTTAATTTTCTGTTGAAGAACATATTTGTTCTTGAATTGTGCTGCTATAAACACTGATATGGTGGCATCGCTGTAGTGTGCTGACTTTCAGTCTTTTAGTTACACACTGAAGAGTGGGATAGCTGGGTCATACGGTGGTTCCATTCCTAGTTTTTTGTTTTGTTTTGTTTTGAGAGAGAGAGAGAGAGAGAGAGAGAGAGAGAGAGAGAGAATTTTTAATATTTATTTTTTAGTTCTCGGCGGACACAACATCTTTGTTGGTATGTGGTGCTGAGGATGGAACCCAGGCCGCACGCATGCCAGGCGAGCTTGAGCCACATCCCCAGCCCTCCAGTCCTAGTTTTTGAGGAGTCTCCATACTGCTTTCCAGAGTGGTTGTACTAGTCTGGAGTCCCAGCAAGATGTAAAAGTGTACTTTCCCCCCATCATGAATTCTTTTAGTATATTGTTGTCATTTTTAATTTTCCCCTCAAATTTGAAACTGAGCTTTGTTGGGTATAGTAATCTTGGAGGGCACTTGTTCTCTTTTAGGGTTTGGAATATCTCATTCCAGGCCTCCTTGATTGTAGGGTCTAAGCTGAGAAATGAGAAGTGCGTTTTATTGGTTTGCCTTTAAACATGACCTGGTGTTTTCTCTCTTGGGGCTTTTAATATTCTTTCCTTACTTTCTGTGTTAGTTATTTTGATTATGATATGTCTTGGTGAGCTTATTTGATTAGGTCTATCTGTGGTCCTGTAAGCCTCCTGTTTAGAGGTGAAGGTTAACCTGGGAATATCTTTCTCTTTTGGTAGTGGAGCTGAGATATTAGTCACACTTTGAATTAATACTTTGCACTGCTTTCTGCTCCAGAAAGATGGTGCTACCGGTGTGGTTTATATTACTAAAATGAAGTCTGAATTGTGTAGATTCTGAGCATCTTGAAGCTAGGAACTTTCCTCTGTATCTCATAACATTTAGGACTGTACTTAGTAAAATAAAAATGAATTCTGAGTAGATATTTGAATCAAATGAAATTTATTTCCTCCTGTAGATTCTCTGTAGTAGTATATTTTCATCTGTGGGCATGCTTTACCATCCACGTGGGATTGGTTCTAGGATCCCCAGCTGCAAAATGGACACTCAAATCTGCAGATTCGTGTTGCTTATATGAACTGGCCGAGCATGTGCATATAACTTTCCTATGCTTTTCCTCCTGTATTCTTTAAATCATCTCTGAATTATGCACAATGCAGAGCAAACACTATGTCAATAGTTGTTATACTATATTATTTGAAGAATAATGATAAAAGTCTATATATTCTTATTATAGACCAGTTTTTTCCCCTGAATATTTTCAGTTGTTGATTGAATTCATAGAGGCAGAAACCATGAATACAGAGGGCCAATTTATTGAGTTCGGTAATAACAGCAAGGGCTATGTAAGGTGTAAGCAGAGTAGATTATATTCATGTTTTGATCTTTTGTAATTTTTGTTTAAAATTGTGTGTTTAGAGTAGCTTTGAAAAGCAGTGTAATGATGGCATCCTTGGAGTAGAGGCAGCCCGGATATTAATTGGTGCAACGAAAAGCTATTGCCCCATCCAAGGAAAGTAAGTATAATACTTCTTCGATTAATTCAGTTAATTGATTAATTAATTAAATTTGATATTTCCAAAATTGAGTTGGTATGTGATTAAGAATGAACAAATGGAGTGTTAAATGTCCAGACTGATCAATCTATTATCTATTTTTATCTATCCACATCCATCTATCTGTCCATCTATCCATCTATTCATGTATTTTCTATTTTTCTTGTTTGCTAATTTTCCCGTGTGGTTTCATGAGCTTGGTGACATTAGCGGACTCTGGAGGAGTAATTAGATGAGAGACAAGGGGACCCATGAAGGAGAACTTCATGGCTTCTGTTGTTGTCATGAGTGTGTTGCTTTCATATCATATCCACGAAATTGCTAGAGGAGAAGGCGGAGGCCTGGGTCTGTGGTTAAACAGTTCTGGGGTAGAGCAGTCTCTCTACCGGCTCAACTGGTTTTGATGGATGCGATGAAATCCAGTGGGGAAAACCCAGTGTCTCAGAGATAAGTGCGTATCTGGGCACAGTCCTGGCAAGCATTAGGTAACAGGTGATTCACAGCAAAGCTCTGAGGGTGAGAGTGAGCAGGGCAGGAGCCCAGCGATCTTTGTGGGAGAGCTGTCCTTAGTCCCTGGGATTATGAAAAGCAGGGCCTTTGTGGGGGGAGGCTTGGGCTGGTCCATCCCCAAAGGATTGGTCTAGAGAAGCTTTAATTACATTCTGTCTCAGGTCAGGAATGGTTCTAGGAACGGGGTGGGGTGGGGTGGGGGGGGGTGGCACAGGTGTCTCATGTCCCATGACCACAGGTGGATAGGTGGATGGGTGCAGAGGCTTGGGATTCAGTGAATTTATTTAGTAGATCCTCATTAAACTTGTATTTAGTATAACTTCCCCTTTTATATTACCCTATTTATTATGGTCAGTTTTTATCATAATGCATGTTGTATTTTTGTTAGATTCATGAATATTCATGATGTTTCAACTTACGTAAGAGCTAGAAGTTGGCTTATAAAGTTTAAAAACATGTTAACTTACTTGGAATATCATAGAGAAAGGGGACGTTTTATTCTACCTGGGTAAGTATTGTGAACTTTTTTCCCTACATTTTTTTAATTGGTGCATCATAGTTGCACCTAGAAATGGGATTCGTTGTGACATATTCATACGTGCACACAAGTATTATGAACTTTTAATAGCAGTACCCTTGAAAATAGTATAATTTCCATAGTTTTTGAATAAATGATTTTGATTTTCCTTATTAAAATAAAACTAATATCATGGTCAACTCTCATTGACGAAGGGGTGAAGGTACAGAGTGCTTGCTTCCCTTCATTCTGTTTCAGCCCCTTCACTGGTGCCTCTATGAGAGCGTGGGCAGGAAGAAGAGAGGGTGGTCTTGTGGGGTCATGTCGTGGACTGGGATGCGTGCATCTTCTTCTAGATGCAGTGCAAGGGTGAGAAGTACCCAGGTGGCGCATTAGATCTAGCTCAGTTTAATTTCATCTGTGCCGCAGGGTGGTCATATTGAGGTCTGTCTTTAGGAGAAATACAACTCGGACTTAACAATACCTTCATCACTGAAGCTGCTGAATTTTAAGTGGGTGTTGATCTTTTGCAACAAAATCGGACATTGTTTTGCTTTCTTCCATTTAATTAATTCAAAGATAAATAGAAAAATCAAACACCTAGGATATTGACATATGCAGGGAATTTATTTTTTAAAAAATCAGGCTCAAAAAAAATTAGGGTCTATTTTAGATGGATTGAAAAGTTTTAAGAAATACATGTTATAGTAATTATTGAATAGTTGTTTTTCTGTTCTTATATTTAAATAATGCTGATGTGTAACTCATATTCTTGTCATTTTGTTTTTGCTTTTGATTTATGAATCCTTGCATCATTTCCTATATCCTATAGCATTGATTTTTTTTTCTTTTTTTTTTTAAAGAGAGAGTGAGGGGGGGGGACAGAGAGAGAGAGAATTTTAACATTTATTTATTTTTTCTTAGTTCTCGGCAGACACAACATCTTTGTTGGTATGTGGTGCTGCTGAGGATCGAACCCGGGCCGCACGCATGCTAGGCGAGCGTGCTACCACTTGAGCCACAACCCCAGCCCCTAGCATTGATTTTTTTAAAAAGATGCTCCCCATCCTAGAAATAGATAAACAGAAACATATTTTTATCTTTCTCCATTATGATTTTGATGTACAGAAATTATGCTTTTATTTTTGCTATCTATTATTTTATTTGTAGTCTTCAAATTAATTTTAATGATTTATTTAAACAAATGTTGAACTTCAGCTCTTAATTGTTATTCTTGGAAGTGATCTGACATTTTATTTGATTTTTTTTTCCAGGAGTAATAGATTTCTGATTTTTGTATATCACCTTGTATTTTCAGAAGAATTTGAATACGCAGGACATATTAAGACATTATTGTATATTTATCCCATGATAATACATTTATGGCCAATGGCAAGAGAGTTAAATGTATCAGCACTGATATCAATGAACCACTATTTTATATTTTTATGTGCGTTAGAATCAACTTTGAAGGTACTGTTTAAAATAAAAATATAGTCCATGAAAAGAATAACGCAGATATTTAGAATAGTTTCAAATCATTTGTTAACAGAAGCTATCTGTTATTATGGTTGATGTGGTCCTGGAATTTTAGTAACTTTTGTTTGAATTTTCTGAGTTTTAATAATGAAATTAATAGAAGAGTCACAGTCTTGGACATTAACTAAATATAAAAGTAGAGAGAATCCTAGGATAAGGCAAAAGAAAGCTGAAAATCCAGACAAAGAGATTTCTTCCACATACTTTCAGTAATGATACAAGAAATAAATTAGCAAATAGAAGCAACAATGTTTTGCTGGTCTTTGTCATAACACGAGGACCTTTCCCTGTGCTGTGAAGCCAGAACCGCTTTCAGACTTTGTTATGAACGGTATTATAATGAATCTGCTTATTGCTATTTTTTATATTCTTGGTTTTGGCACTCCAGTTTCATTATAGATTATACATATTGATTCACACTAAAATTTTTGATGTTGGAGATTACAAAGAATTTTGGGAAATTCCAAATGAATAACTTAAAGCTCAACTTTTGGAATATAACTCATTTATAGCTGAAAGCTTAGTGGTCAAACTGTAAGAATTTTTCCCCTTACACCATGTATAGGTACTATGAAATGACATAGATTCTATTTCTTTTCTACACAGTTAATCATTCTGAAAAGGAACTATTTTAAACAACATTGGAATACTTTGGATTTTTTAATTTTGCTTATTGGGCTCGTGGATATCTTTTGTATATACTTTGTCAGACTAAGAACAAGCAACTTGTTCCTTATCCAGCTCACAGTGGTGATGGGATACTTAAGAATAATTAGGTTTCTTCCTATCTTCAAGGTAAGACTTTGAATTTTAAATTGTTAGGATTTTTTCCTATATCACTTAATAAGTGATTTCAGAAATGTCCTTGTTTTAAGAGCAATGGCCACCTGTGCCCACCTTCAGCCTTGGGCTCCCTCCTCTGGACCCTGTTCTGTCTGCTGAACTCTTACTTTTCTCCCCATTTTTTGTCTGTACTGTGCCCCAAGGCAGGCCTTCTTGTTTTGGTCACTGATGTGACCTCCGGCTCAAGACAGTGCCTGCTGTGTAGTTAAGGCCTTAGTGAATATTCCTGCTAAGTGAATGGGTGAAAAATAGGTGCCTCTAGAAGCAGGCTGATCTAGAAACAAGTCCTTCAAATGTCAGTAAAATTTGTTCCAATCACCCAAACTATGTAGAAATAGCAAGGAAATTCTCCCCCTCCACAGTCCCCTACTCACATAGCATGCTGCCTTTCCTGTGGTCTTCAGGTTCATTAGCAATTATCATTCCTTCTCTCCATGGCCCTGGTTTGAATTCTGAGGTAGATTTTTATGTTTCCGTTCTCGACATTTACACCTGCTTTCTCTCTTTCCAATGGAGATGCACCGCATCAGCATTCAGCTTGGGAGTTGAGAGATTATACTTGCCACTCCATTTTTTCTTAATAATTCTTATCACATCAAACAAGCCTGTTAGTATGTATTGAAATGGTACAGGTTTGGCATTTAAAAACCTTGCCGTAAACACTACGGACCCAATTCATGCATCAGCATCTTCCACCGAGTCCCCTCCTCCGAAAGATTTCAGGGTTATGTTTTTTAAAGTTAGAATTGTTTGCCCAGCTTGTGCTCATAGACTGCTTCTGGTCATTTTTAAATTTTATATGAATGTCATGAGGATTGCTGTGCAGTGCTGTATACACAGAACCTGCTTTTAGGGTTAATTCCCTCTCTATGATCTTTACCGCGTGGGCTGAGTTTAGCGTGGAGTGCTCACGTAGGTATCACTCTACCTGATACAAATGACTCTAGAAATCAAGAGTCACGTACTGAGGCTAGGTCTTAAAATAGAAGACAGAATTCTCTTTAGGTAATCAGTTTTTGTACAGATATCTTGCTCTGATGAATGTAAAACAATTATTTTAGAAGTGGTACTTTGTGAAAAATAAAATGGAATCTTCCTGGTATACTCCAGACAAAGCTCAATGAAGTATCCTTAAGGACTCAATATTATTATGGTTAGCTTTTTTTTTTTTTAATTGAGCACTTATTTTCCAGGAACTATGTAAAGTACTTTACGTATGTTACCCAGTTAAATGATGATAACAGTCCTGTGGAGATTTTGACACTGTGCTCCACGGGACGGCACAGGGAATGTCCGTGTGTTGTGGGGGAAAGCTTTGAAAAGTCTTCTTGAAACAGCTCTCCCTTTCCCCCAAGTTTCACAACCAAATGGTGGCTAAAAAAGCTTTCTCTTTCTTCTGCTCCCGTAATTCCTGCACTGTGATACTCTTCTCCTGTTCTTTGTCTCCACCCCCCCACCTCCGTGTTACCCCGTCCCTTGCCATCTGTCCCTGAGCTTTGACGTAGCTATAAGTCCGTGGGAAGTCCCCTGGTTGTGACTGCTTCTGCTTTTGAGGGCTGTCTCCATGGGAATTCTGGTATCTACACATTATTACCCTCATTTTATACACGAGGACCCTGAGTCCTCCAAGTCACTCAGTAACTTTCTCCAGGTCACAGAGCTGGTGGACACTGGTTTTGAAGCTAGACAGGTTTATGTTTAAAAATTTGAAGTCACTACGTTAGCCTGCCTCAACCTGTGATCAGGGAAATTGAGAGCTAAGAAGGATCTTAGTTCCCTAAGTTCCTCATCTCACAAGAGGTGAGTTCTTTAGTCAGTAACTATGTTACTATCTAGGGGTGCTGGGTTACTTACTTCCTTCAGCAGAGAATTGAAGAACAGGACACAGAGATAGCATGCATACAGCAGGTTTATTGCAAAACCGAGACAGAGACAGAATTCTTCAAAGAGCAGGGGTCCCGGAGCCAGGAATCTGGTGGAAGAGTTTTGGCTTGTTCTTTCTATGGCCTCTGGAATTTCCTCCTTTCCTTACCTTCTCCCCTGTCCACGCCCTTTTCATTATTATTGGTGAGTGCCCCCTCTGTTCGTGCCTCTGTTTCTATTGGATCCCCCGCTTAGGAGCACAAGTACCATCTGACTGGGTGTCACAAGGGGCAAAAGGTGCGACATTTGCAGTTGAGGGGAGAGATAAAGAATGTCCATACCCTTCTGCCCTTTCCAATGTTTTATTCACTCAAGTCACTCAATACAATTTCACTCTGTATGTTCTTAATCAAGGAAATGACAACTTTAATCTAGGCACTGCAATAGACATAATCAATTCACAGCAAACACTTCTAGATTAATTCTAGCACTGCAAACACACAGGCTCATAACAGACATTCCCTCTGCGTGCTAAGTTCAAGTGTCAGATCAAAGGTCTCAAGCCTGAGGCTTTAAGTTCAGCAGATGCATATCACTTGATTGTGCTTGAGGGCCATACTGGTGAGCAGGTTTCAAACTGGAGTTTTAAAGTGGAGTTGCTCAGGCTCAGGCCTCAGGCCATCCTGATAGAATTTGCATCTTTAACAAGTGTCTGAGTACTGCATTATTTGTCTGGAGACAACATTTTTGGGAACTTCTGCTTTATGACCTAAAAGCACCATTTTAAATTTCACAAAATTTACAGAGTTTTTCTCTGTCTCTCTCTCTCTCTCTCCATAATTCCAGCTAGCAATTCCAATGCTGATAAATATTGTAGATGTGCAGGTCAAAAAACACCTCAGCTTGATGTACAATATTACAAAAGGCTATGTCAAAAGTCAAGAAGATGCCAAACTTTTAATGAAACAAATTTCTGGCCGTAAATCAATATACAAGGTGAGAGATAAGCATTGTTTGTGGGGGGGGGGGCAGGGGATAGAAAACCACCTAGATGTATTAATTTCTTTTCAATCATTTCTATATCTGTTGGGCCAAACGGACACCAGAAGTTGAAGGGGTCTGTTTATCATGTCCTAAAGGAGCTGTGGAAGGAAACGAGCCCCGTCTTTACATGTCAGCTGTTCTCATCAACTCACTTGTGATCTTCATAGCAGAAAACCACCCACAGGGGCAGCGTGGGTGGCTGGTGTCGGGGAGCGGGTGAAGAGGACCCCCATCCTGCCTGTCTGTATGCACCTAGTACCAGGCAGGCTTGGAGATGGCGAGCCGCTTCTCAACCAGGCTCCCTCACACCCGCATGTCCTCTGGGGCATTCTTTGAAGTTTACTAGGTTTGTGTCCCTAAGAGGCTCATCTTAAATTTCATATGTGCTTTGTACTTGGTAACATTCAGAGGTTCCTCCTGGCTAAAGGGTAAGATCTTTGAATGTATACAAAGGAGAGAACATAGCACAAAGAACAACAAACAATAAATTGTTGGTTATTTTTAGTGATACATCATACTAAGATTCATTTTGACGTAATTATAAAAGCATGTTCTAATTCAGTCCCCAGTATTTCCCTTTCCCCTTCCATCCTCACTCCCCCTATTCCCTTCCGCCTGCTCCACTGATCTTTTGCGTGTATGGTTTTGTTTTTAGTCGGTGTCTTGTGGCTGTGTACGATGGTGAGAATCCCTGGTGTGTTCATGTATGTACACAGGAATGTTAGGTCAGATTCCCACCCTTCACTTCATTCATTCTCCTTAATCGACGGCACTGGTCTTTCTTCATTTTTTAAATCCCCCACCCCTCTTATTTTGGATTACTTCCACATATCACACAAAACATTTGACCTCTGACTTTTGGGAACTGTCTTATTACACTTGGCATGGTAGTCTCCAGATTCATCCATTTACCAGCAAATGTCCCTTTTCCTTCTTCTTTATGGATGATTGATTAGTACTCCATTGTGTTGATATACCACATTTCCTTTATCCATTCATCTGTGGAAGGGCCCCTAGGTTGGGTCCATAGCTTAGATATTGTGAATTGAGCTGCTATGAACATCGATGTGCCCCTATCATTGTAGTATGCTGATTTTAAATCTTTTAGTTATAGACTGAGGAGTAGGGTAACTGAGTCTTATGGTGGTTCCATTCCTGGTTTTTTGAGGAATCTCCATACTGCTTTCCACGGTGGTTGCACTAATTTGCATTCCCACCAGCAATGTATGAGTGTACGTTTTTCTCCACATCCTCACCAACATTTACTGTTATGTATATCCTTGATAATTGCCATTCTGACTGGAGTGAGATGGAATCTCAGTGTAGTTTTAATTAGCGTTTCCATAATTGTAGAAATGTGGAACTTTTTTTTTTAGATATTTGTTGACCATTTGTATTTCTTCTTTTGAGAAATGTCTTCTTTTGCCCATTTATTGATTTGGTTGTTTGTTTTTGTGTGTATTAAGAACTAGAAAAAGCAATTATGAAATTAATTTGGAATAGTAAAGAGACCCAAAATAGTCAAAGCTATCCTTACTGAGAAAAGTGAAGCAGGAGACATCAAAATACCAGACCTCAAATTATACTACAGAGCTATAGTAACAAAAACGGAATGGTACTAGCACCAAAACAGGCATGAAGACCAATGGAGGGAATAGAGAAGACACAGAAACAAACCCACATAAATACAGTTATGTGATTCTAGACAAAGGTGCCCAAAACATAGGTTGGAGAAAAGATCACCTTTTAAACAAATGGTGCTGAGAAAAACTGGAAATCCATAAGTACTAGAATGAAATTTAACCCCTATCTCTCACCCTGCACAAAAGTCTACTCAAAATGGATCAAAGACCACTAAAACCTGGCATTAGACCAGAGACCCTGCAACTGCTGGGAGAAAATGGCCCAACACTCCATCACGTTGGCACAGGAACTGACTTCCTTGACAAAACTCTTCAAGTGCAAGAAGTAAAATTTTAAAAAACTCAATAAGTGGATGGCATCCTATTAAAAACTTCTTAACAGCAAAGGAAACAAGAGTGTGAAGAGAGAGCCTACAGAGTGGGAGAACATCTTTGCCCTGCTCCTCAGATTGGGCATTAAAATCCAGAACAGACAAAGAATTCTTTGACCGGTATTTAATCCACTCTTTGAAGTCAGGAGGGCTGTGAAACTCAGGGTAAGTCCTGCTGCCCGTTCTTTCAGATTTACACATCTGTCAGATTAGCGTTCCCTTCTGCTTCTCTTGGGGGGGGGGTCTTTTTAGGGATCAGCTTTTTCTTGATGATGTGATCTGCGATATGGGATTGTGGTGAAGTGTTGGGTGTATGTCTAAGAGGGTTTCAGAGTGTAGTTTCCCTGCGACTTGTTTTTGGCAGGGTGGGGAATAGTGTGCTCTGACATGGGACATACTTCCTCTGTAGGTCTCACAAGAGTAAAGTATATGGGACACATCCCGTGTGACTACTCTTCTTGTCTGGTCAACACTGGTGTTCTAAAAGGGTTGGGGAGTGACCTATGCCGAGGTCCCTACCTGTGTGGTGTCCATGATCTTTGTCTGTTTCTCTCTCTGTCACTTGTAGGAACAGGAGCGGGTCTTCAGGCCCCCAGCCATGCCTACCTGGGGCTTGGTTGTAGGCTGGGGTTTTTATCTACCCCGTTGTTTGTGTTGAGTACTCACTGAGGTCAAGTGAGGTTGGGCTGTGGGCCGAGCAGGGAGTCCCGTCTCTGGTCTGGGGCCCTCATTTTATCACAGAAAAGGTGAAATGAACCACAGCAACAGCAAGAAGCAGCAGTGAGCCAGATAAGCAGCAAACCAGGTGTCATGTGGGCCACCACAACACCCACAGCCACACGGGGATGGTGGGGACAGAAATCATCTAAGCCAAACAGTTTAAGAGACGGTAAAAATGTAGTTAATTAAGGAAAAGAAAATGGGAAGAAGAAGGAAAAAGAGGAGTCAGAGTTTTCAAAAAGCAAAAAGAGAGCCGAAGAAAGGTATAAAGGCCATAAAGAAAGAAAATATAAAATAAAAGCTAAAACAAGGAGCTGGGATTGTGGCTCAGTGGCAGAGCACTCACCTAGCATGCGTGGGGACCTGGGTTCAATCCTCAGCACCACATAAAAATAAATGAATGGAATAAAGGTATTCTGTCCAACTACAACTAAAAAATATTTTTTAAAAAAGCTAAAACAAAATAAAAAGAAAGTAAGAGAATTTGAAGAAGACAAAGAGTAATCCAAACCCCAAACTATCAAAACAAATCAAAAACAAAAATCCTCAAATTCAAACAAAACAGAACAAGGATAAAAATATAAATAAATAAAAACAAAGAAAAACTATATGAACCAATTAACAAATATATATATATATTTGGTTTTATATATATATATATAAAACAACCTGATGAAAATGGAAGGATCGTCTTTGCTGATGGCTGAAACCGGACCGCAGCGGCGTTCACTCCTGTGCCAATCTGCACTGTTCCCAAGTCCTCTTGGGCACACACCCCTTAGAGGGAGCAGGGACTGGGGGTCCTTCCTCCTCTGCTGCTGCTCACCAGACTGACTGCGGTGGCCTGGGATTGAAGCTGGCTGACATGACGTTCAGCTCCTGCAGGAGGACAGGGATGGCAAGTGTCCCGCGCTGGAGTTGACACGCACTTCCAGGACAGCAAGTGCTGGGGGCTGACGCCAAGCTCTGAACGGGCTGCTCCGTTAGCCAGGTTTCCTGCAGACAGTGTGGATGGACACGCTCTGAGAGGCCAGCGCTAGGCCTCCCTGGGCATCAGTGCCTTGGGCGCCTCACACCCAGAAGGTGAGAGTGGCCCCCCGAGACCCGTCCCCAGTCCTCAGAGGTGGTCACATGCACCTCTTCAGTTCCCACCTCGGCTGCTCACCTGAGCCTCCAGATTCAGAGGGAAAATGAATGCACTCCTGCTCCCATCTGCCACCTCCCCCTCGCTGCATTGGGTTTTCTCTGTGCCCTTTGGACCCTGGGGCCACCCTGGCCCCACAGCGGGCCCTGGCCAGGACGGGGTGGCCGTGTTTGCTGAGATCTCCAGTGGGGCTGTTCTTCCACGTGGAGCCTCGGAGAAGCTGGAACAGCCCTCCTCTGCCTCTTGGCTTCTCACTTCATTAAAAAAATTAACACGATGTTCTCTTGAACCCCTTTGTTTAAAATTTTTGTTTCCTGTGTCAATTCTACTTCTTGGTGTTCATTCTCCTATGGGTTGTTGTGGGGGTTTTTGTCCTGTTTTTTTCCCTCTAGTGCTTGGTGATTTGGGTTCTCTTTTCGTATGTGTCGATGAGGGTCTAAACTGAATAGTGTCAATAATTGAACTGTATCAATGGTTTTCTCAGCTCACGTGAAACTCTGGATTTTAAACCCCACAATGAACTTAAAGCCTAATGACTAAAGCCCTGGAAGGGGTGACTGGGTGCGTGGCTTGGAGGCCCGTGGTCTGTGGGAGGTGTGTGCTGGCAGTGGTCACCTCTGGCTCTCAGCCCCGGAAACTGAGACTGATTCCTCACTGAGGTCGGCAGAGGGAAACAGGCTGAGAAGTTACCCACGTTTACTGTATCAGACGTTAATGTGCATCGGAATTGTGTGTTGTAGAATGCAGAAGAAAATTAAAAGAGCTACTGAAAAGCCAGATTGGTGTGTGTTAGGAAGAGCACAGAGGATGGGGGGGGGGGAAGCTATGTCTTTAGTTAGGTACAGAGTTTCCTGTAGGAAATGTGAACTAATGGGCACTGTTTCTTCTCATTATGACTCTTGTTCTTGTGCTGCCGACAGACCGACTCTCCAAATAGCTTCTCAGCACATCTCCAAATTGGGCTCTGCTGGTGAGAACTCTCCTTGGTGCACGGTGGACTGTTTTGAGATCTCTCAGGCACAGTAGCTATGCAAAGTGCTGACTGCACAACATCCTCTGCAATTTAAATCTCAGCCCAAAGAAGATAGCAGAATTGACCGGAGGGGGTACAATGAGCTGAAGATCTCTCTTGAACCAAAGGAAGAGAGATTTCCTAGGCCATGCTGCTGCTTATCAGAATTTAAATCTGGAAATGCTTGTTGTAACAAGAAATGTCTGTTTTTCTTAATTTCTTACAGAAATTATATGAAATTCTGGAAACCAACAAAAGAGAAGCTATCAAAGAGCTAGGTAAGTAGTTGCAGTCTCTGAGAAATCGGACCTTCTGGTCCCATGATTTAGCCCAAAGTAAGCTGGGCTCATGGTTTTACCCACTGGCTCACTCCTTCAGGCAGCCAGCATTTACTGAGCACACCCAGGAAAGCAAAGGATCTAGACCTGGATCCTTGGGAGAGGACAGGACCTGGTGCAGCATCCGCACATGCTGGTAGACGTGGAAGAAAGGGGGGTCCTGTGGTCCTGGGGGCATATAGAAGAAAGAAGGGGATGAGTGTGGAAGTGTTTTGAAGTGGCAAGGTCAGAATCCTGAAGATTGTAAGAAAAAGACACGTGACGGTTACCTGGGACCCAAGATTGCTTTATTATTGTTATTATTATTATTTTCTTCAAGGATGCTCCAGTGTTGTGGGAAACCAACTGGTCAAGAAATAGCAAGCAGCACTTGGAGAGGAGGAGAACTTCAAATTTTATTTTAGGCTGGGGGTGGGGGGCAGAGGAGATCAGATTCCAAATTCTGAGTGCCTATTCCCCCACATTTATAGGCTCTCTAGTGTCATAAATTTTCTAATCTGAACAATACACAGTTGTTAACTGGTTTCAAGTGGGAAGCATAGGATGTGATAAGAGGAAGAACTGGCTTCTTTTACTATGGCCTTGGTAAATCTTTAGCCTGGGGCTGAGAGCTTTCATAGGGGCATTTACACTTCAAAGGAAAGTAGTTAGATCCTAGGGAAACTCATTTACAATCCAAAAGGTAGGAGTGGGCCAGGCTATGTCTCACTTTTCCTACAGGAAATTCCTTATCTAACCTGAAGACCCGCTGCCTAGAAAGGGAGGGGAACTCTCTTTTCCAGGCACTAATTCTCAGGACAGTGTCCTTGGTTTTTGCATCCAGGCTTGGTGGCTTGCAGGGGAGGTTATTTTTGAGCATGCACAGTGACTCATGTTTCCTTGAAGAAGATAGTGGGAACTCAAGGGTCTCACGCTGGACGTCTTGGGTCTGTTTTCCTCATGTGGGGGCACAGCCAGGCTCTCAGCTGGTGCAAAATCATCTGGTAGAGGCTGGCATAGGGTGCCCCTTAATACATGGGAGCTGTCAGTAAAGACAAGGTTGTATGCCTGACTCCACTGTAAATGCTACCTGGGTTTATGGGAATCAAGCTTTCTGATTCTAACTGAGAAGCACACGGTCTAATAAATGAAAGTGTGAGTCTGGAGACCATAGGTCAGAATATTTTGGCACTGTTTCTGAAAATCCAACACCACTCCTGCCATTTATATATCAGCAGATTTTTAATTTTGAACTTTTAAAGAATAGAGGTTTAGGAATGGCTGCTTCGTGTTAGGTTTTAGATCAGTACAGAATCTTACAAAGGTTTCTTGACTCAGTTGCATAAAAGGGAGTGTCTGTTTCCTTGGAGTTAGTGCCCCTGCTTATTGCCTGCTTACTGGGTCAGGAGCTTACTGGGTCAACAAACGCTGGGCTCATCATTTTACAGAGGAGGCGAAGGAGGAGGAGAGAGGTTAACTTGCCTGAGGCCCTATGGCCAGGGGGTGATGAGCTCATTTTCCTGCTCTGGTACCTGACCCTCAAGCCTAACTTCATTTTATTGGTCGTCTCTTTTCAATGAAAAGATGTGTGAGAACCTTCTGTGCACCAGGCCTTGGGCTCAGTGATAGAGTTACAGAGCAGCAGCCAGGGACATTTTACCCCGGCTCACGTTCTAGTCCATGACTCCTCACGCTTATTAAAGCAGAAAGAATATGCAGCTTGATCTCAGAAAGACCCACGGCCAAAGTCCTGGGCCTCTTTGAGTCTTTCATTTTTTCACCCAGCCAAAAAAAAAAAAATCACGCAGCGTGGAGGTTGAGAGAGTCAGTAAAGACAACACTGAACCGTGAGGAGTCTCGTAATGGAGACGTGGGAGACGCCCGCGTTAGGCAGAGAGGTGCTTTCCTCTGAGCGGGTGGGCAGCCCTACGGGCTCTGTGTGGAGCTGGAGTGAGGACACGTGGGAATCCTGGAAACTGAGCGGAATGCCCCTGAGGGTACTGCACACTGTCCCCAGGACTCATAGAGCATGAAGGCCGTGATGTTGTCATTGCTTTGAAGACCAAGCAGGCGATCCGGAACGTGGTCGCTAAAGCTCTGAAGAATCTCACCTTCCTCAGGTCGAGGGGCATCATCGACGAACACGAGGGCATCGAGCTGAATAAGGTAACGAAGCAGTTTCCACGTTGCCTGATTCCATGGGCCCGGAACCCCACCCGCATGATGACTTTCGCAGGAAGTAATAAGTGAGGCAGATCGGGGAAAAGAGTGTTCACGGGCAGGTCCCACCCCTGGCATTGCCTGTGGCTTGGTCGCTTCCCGTGCACAGGATGCCAGTTCTACCTCTTGCACCCCATTAGTCAAAGCTGCTTAGATGCAAGTATCAGAAACCAGCTGGAGTGAGGCTTAATAAGGAAGTAGGGCTGGTGGGTTGATTCAAAGGACATGGAGCATCTCACGGAGCCCACAGTAGCCCGGCTGTGTGGCCAGGCTTCTGGAAGGACACGCCTAACTCCCCGAGGCCTTTCCAGAGTCCCGGTTTCCTTTGGGGGTCGCCCTCTGTGGCGCCCTCCTCTGGCTCCGCTCTAGACTCACTAGATTTCTCCACCAACTGGTGGAGTCTGTTTGTCCTGGTCCCACTGACGTGGCACTGGAGGTGGCAGCCACCTGATAGTGCATGGCAGGGAGGGGACCAACCTGTGTGTCTGTGTGTCAGTGGGGGTCGGAGGATGCAGCTCCGAGAGGAGGAGCAGGAAGGTGGCCTGACCGGTCAGCTAACAGAAATGTGAGGAGCTGTGTCCTACACGTACCAGGCAACGGGGGCTCTGGCCTGTGTGTGCTGCTCACGGGGCTCACGGAGCCTGTCCCTGGTGACACGTGCTCTTCCTCGTCACGGCAGCGCCCAGCCACGGACACCTGCTTTGTGCTTCGGTCACTCGCTGACTCGGTCCCCTCGTCTCGGTGGTCTCAGGGAAGACATGACGCAGGCCAGGCCTTTTCCTTCAGGGCTCTACCTCTTTAGCTTCTGTAATGTCCAGGGAAGGACCAGATGGACAGTCCATTTCCCCTGAATGCCTGCCTGAGGGAAGAAAGGGCCCCTTGGTAGTAGTCCTCTCCCTTTTGTGTTTTATATTCTACTTTTAAAATTAGCCCTTTTGAAGTTTGTATAAGACAAGTGGATGCTTGATGCCATTAATTAATATAAAGAAACGATACCTCTTAATTAACAATACCATTAATTAATACAAAGAAACAATACCTCTTAATTAACAATACCATTAATTAATATAAAGAAACGATACCTCTTATGAGCAGAGAGACGTATTTTCCCTGTAAGTTTGTTTAGAAAGTTGCTGGAGGAGTCCGTCCCTAACAGCCACCTCTTGAATACCTACTGATTGGCTAACTGTCAGCACCTCTCCCAGGCCATAGGACATGGGAGGAGATTCAATGCGATTGAGTGAATCCATGTTGGAGACCTACTAGGTGCTCGGGGACCCCAGTGGGGATACAACACTGACCCCAAGGTCCACGGTTCTTTGTTTTTCATTCAGTCATTTATTCATCCAACCAACGGCAGTTGAATAATAGGAGGGGTGAGACAGAAAGGAAGAGAGAACAGCACTACAGGGTAGCGAGTCCCATGGTGGAGACACGGGAAGAAGAGTGATGACCTGATGTTTCTCTCACTGGAAAAGAGAAGGATTCTCAGAGGCCACAGGCTAGGACTCTGTGCTCCTAGTTAGAAGGCTCAGAGATGCTGACTGTACACACCAACGACACAGGGAGGCCATGGAGCAATCATGCGGGATTTAGGACATCTGCGTTGAAGATAAGCTGGGGCACTGTGTTCAGTGGGTTAGGAAGATGGCAGGTTCCATCTGAGTTCATACATGAGTGGCGATCACTAGGGCAGGAGGGGACAAGCAAATGGGCTCCCGCGAGAGGAGCTTTGAGCTAACTCAAGGTCAAACCTGCACAGGAGTAATTTATGTGGAGTCCTAGGGTTGGATTTTTTTTTTTTTTTTAATGTACAGCCCGTTTTCTGTGACAGTACCTGATCATCATCATTTTGGTTGGTTGCTTTTAGGTACTTCTTATGAAAATAAAAGCACTGAATCATTTTCCAATGGCAATCCCACCCCCTACTCCTGACAAGTACCTTCATAATATCATCTGGATGGAAAATAAAGATGTCCTCATTGAGTTCTTCAAGGTAAAGCTTCTGTCTGGCTCGGGCTTGATGTAAATGTTAAATATTTCCGCCATTTTTTGTACCACCTAATGTACAGAAAAGCACATCCAAAGGGAAATCCTATACTGGCCAATCCGAGGAGAAGCAGATGAGGCCCAGGAAAGCTAGGGGCAGCCAGCTTGTGGGACTAGAGGGCAAAGACAGGCCATCTGTGTTTCCTGAGTATTATCAATGGCATTCTATTTTGTTACCTAGAGTGCTGGACTTCCAGATGCGAATTCTGGAAGAAACCTATTTTTATACCAAGGATCTCACATTTAAATGACTGTAGAGGCCACGCAGATAATATGAAGGTAAAACCAAGGGGGTGGAATGCAGTAGGGAACAGTGAGGACTGTGGCGCTTTCCAGAGCTCATCCTCTTCCTACAGGAATTTGGACCCTTTCAATAAACTGCTATTGAATATCCTGGAATGCTTCTCTCAGGGTTTCCATTTAACTATCCCTTCATCTGTAAAGGTCTCACTGAGCAACCACGACGAGGTCCTGTGGCCTTTCTGCCCTGTTCCACGGTACCATGGTACCCTGCCTCTGTCTCCTTTGACATAATCCCCACACCCATTGGCATCTACCCAACCTAACCAAAGACCTTCCGGCCGCAGGGAATGTATTTATGTTACCATGATAGCCCAAGCCCCAAATGAAGGCTAAAAAAATGTTTTTCTTCATTAATTTACTAATCCATCCCATAAAGCATTTATTGAGTGCTTATGTCATTTGTTATGTTAGGTCCTGATCACAAAGTCTATAGTTTGTTTGCTTATCTCTTTATTTCTAAAATAAAGACATAGTTATTCATGTTAAAATTAAGAAACCAAGGATACAGTTTGTGTTTTTATGTTACTTAAGAACAACTCTGACTTTAGAACTTTACTTCTTTCTAGAAAAGTAGACTATAAACATTTTTTGTTGACTTTTTCTCTCTCTCATTTTTTTCTTTTCTTTCAGGAAAGAACCAAACTTGCCTATTTTGATTACGGAGATGTCATTTGTAGAGAAGGGGAAATGCCGCAAGGAATCTACTTGATAATTTCAGGAATGGCAAGTGTAAGGAGCTGTTCATTCTTTTTCTCTTTAAAATATTTAGTTTTTTTAGTTGTAATTGGACACAATAATCTTTATTTATTTTTATGTGGAGCTCAGGACGGAACCCAGGGCCTCACACGTGCAAGGCGAGCACTCCACCGCTGAGCCACAACCCCAGCCCCAGGAGCTCCTGATTCTTAAGACGTATTTTGAAATGTATAATTATAACAAAAGGAGAAACTTAGGAACTGAAAACTTCTCTTCCAAATGAGCCTTGTTGGCTGGGTGATGGCAGTGGCTGAGCTGATGTCACACTCTGCATCTGAGAGTGTGAACTGTTTGACAAAGGGCCTCTCTTCCATGCCTGCTTCCCCTCAGCAGACCTGGGAGCAGGCGGTCACGTGGGGGACGTGCAGACAAGGATATCAGGACTTAAGTCGCACACCTAACACAGGTGGGAGTTCAAGCCAGAGCCCCCGGAGCTCCAGTGTTTTACGTATCCGACCTTCGTCTAAATAGTTTGGTTCATTCATTCAACAAATATTTACCTGGTTACTACCGTGGAGCAGGCGCTGTCCACCCCAGGCACAGGATGGACAAGGCAAGCACCTCTGGCTTTGCCAAGCTCTTTGCTGGTGGAGAAACAGAAGGAGATGGACAGTGAACAGAATAGAACATGCCCAGGTGCTGTGTCCTAATCCAAAATGCTTGGGACCTGAAGGGTTCTGGATTTTGGATTTTTTTTCAGATCTTGGAACATTTGAAAAGGCCATTATGTATCATGGAGATGAGACCTGCATCTAGACATGAAGTCAGCTTATGTTTTGTGCATACCTTGCGCACCTAGGCTGAAGGTGGTTTTAGACAACACTTTTAATGCACCCGCGTTTTGAAGGTGACATGCCCCGCCTCTTGAGTTCAGGTGTGGAATTTTTTGCTTAAGGGTCATGTCAATGCTCCAAAAGAAGATTCAGATTTTGGATTTCAGATTTGTAGGTTAGGGATGCTCACCCTGTAGAATGTCAGAGGTGCTGGAGAAAAGAGGTTAGTTGTGATTTCAAAAGGTGGTTGGAAAGGTAGTATGTTATACCGTTTAAACCTTATAAGAATCCTATTTTTCTTTCCTTTCCTTTGGGGGAGTAGGTGGGTACCGGGCATTAAACTCAGGGGCACTCGACCACTGAGCCAAATCCCCATTTTTTAATTAATTTAATTTTAAGTTATTTTTAAATTTAGAGACGGGGTCTCACTGAGTTGCTTAGCACCTCGCTTTTGCTAAGGCTGGCTTTGAACTCACCATCCTCCTGCCTCAGCCTCCTGAGCCGCTGGGATCACAGGTGTGCACCTCTGCACTTCGATTCTTTTCTTTTTTAACATGAGAAGAATCTCTGCTCTGTGAGGTTGAGATGTGAAAGGAACCAGGACTTTTGTGAAGGCGAATTCTTCCTTCACTTTTGACTGATTCACAAAGAACCTTCGCCTTCCTTTGGACTAACCAAGGCTTATTAAAGGCGTTGATTTTTCTGCTCTCCTTTGCAGCTACATAGCTCGTCTCCTACCTTTGGGATAGACAGTAGCCTGAAGCCTAATAAAGGGTCCAAAACCATGTTCACAGAGTACTGTACCAGCGGGGACGTGCTGGGGGAGCTGAGCTGCCTGCTGAAGCGCGAGATGGAATACACTGCCGTCTGCGAAACCACGCTACAGGTCAGGCCGTCGGTCTGCAGAGGGTGTCCCTCATCCTGGGGGCCCAGGAGTAGCTGCAAGAAGGCAGATTCTGAGCCTCCCCTGCCAGGCTGTGCGGGGCTCTGCTGTGTCCTGGTTGTGGGTCTCCTTGGGTCCTGTTTCCATGTTTATTCGTCAGAGAGAAGGCCTGCCCCTTGCTGTTCTGAGGGGTGGGAAATGCAGATTGAGCTGGCACGAGTAGGTGCTCAGTAAATGGCGCCATTCAGAGAGCAGTGTTTCTGAAGAATTTTAGTTTGCTTTAAAATGCCCTTTCTTCCATTTTTTTTTTTTTACCTGCCAAATAAGAAGTGATCTGTTCATCAAAGGCCAGCCTGAGCCTCCAGTAGGTGTGGAGAATTCAGATAGCGAGGAGCCAGAGCACCTGCCACTGTGAGCTTCCCATCTACGGGGGCTGTTAGGTGCAGCAGAGCGGGATCTGGTCTTAGGGGTGTGAGGAGCAGAAGGGAATATTGCCTTATAAACTTGATACCACTTCCCTTCTGGAAGCGGGCAGAGGCATGAATTTAGTCACAGGGCTGAATGATTTCTTTCCATCCCTTGACTTGAATTCTGGAATGTGATCTTCATGCAGGTGAACATGTGCTGGGAATGAGTTGGTAAAATCGAATTTACCAGCTGTGACATTCAGATAAGTTCACAGGACTTCAGTTCCCAAACCTTAGACTCATGAACCATATTCTTCTATGTATCCATCGAGGGGCATGTCCCTGCTCTGTTAGTAAGTCTGGATCTTTAATTCAGCCTTATAATTTATCATTTTGTACATGGCCAATGACTTTTCACATCACAGACATTTTTAAATGGCAGCGTATCCCAGTTGTGTGAGTTGACAGGGAGTTTTTCTGAGAAGATGGAGATTAAGTCCGGGGGTGTCTTGTTGGACGGTGCTCTTGTAGCTTAGCTTCGAGTCCGTGTTGTTTCAGGCCTTCTTCATCTCCCTGGAGGACCTGTATGAAGGCTTCGATGTCTTCTGGCCATCCCTGGAGTATAAAATCTGGCTGAAGCTGGCTCTCAACACTGCCTCTCAGTACTTTGAATCGAGTCTCGCTGATGAGGTAAGCTGCATGGTTGAATGTGGACGAATTTTTAGGTACTGCAGCTCTCACAAAATGCATTTCATGGTGTCCAAAGACAGAAGGCAGGTTGTGTCTCATCTCCCACAGTGGGATTGCTAGCACTGGAACCACTCTCTTCCTCAGTACTCCTGTCACGGTGAGTTCTCTCAGGCCACCTGCAGTCCCTCCTTCCAGAAGGACAGTCGGTTCAGAAGGTGTGAAAAGGGTACATACATCCCTTGGCCAAAGGCACCATGAACTGGCCAGAGTTAATGAACACTTGTCCGGTACTTTTTATTTTATTTTATTTTTAATTTTTTTTTTTTTAAAGAGAGAGTGAGGATTTTAACATTTAACATCTTTGTTTGTATGTGGTGCTGAGGATCGAACCTGGGCCGCACACATGCCAGGCGAGCGCACTACCGCTTGAGTCACATCTCCAGCCCCTGTCCGGTACTTTTTAACTGGTTTCTCTACCTACGTTAACACAGACCTCCTGGCTTTTCAAATGTGTGTTGAGGTGACGAAACCTCTTCCATGAACTGTTCTTCCAAACAGCAGTAAGGTCAGAAGAACTTTTCTGTCTGCCAAGAGTTTCCCCGCAGCACCGAGATGGGTGTGACCGGTTAGGAACCGGGCAGCCTACCTGTCCCCACCTCCATCCTGTTTGGGGAAGAACTTTCTATCGAATTTCTTTGATCTGTTCTGATATAAATAAACCGGGTGCGGGCTCTGTTCTTTGTTAGAAGCTGTACCCGTCTGGTCAGCGTGGCCTGTCGCTGCCCCGACTCTGGACCTGTATTTCTGCACCCTGTGGTTATTTTGTAGTAGTACTTTTCTAGCTTTTATTCCTCAGCCAGCCCATCCTCCAGAGGGGAACCCTTTCCCTTGCCCTCACGGGCCGTGGGCGAGAATGAAGACTGGTTTTGGTGCAACTAGAAATCCAGCAGGGCACGGCTGGCCACCCGGCTGCAGCTGCTGGAGAGCTCCTAGGTCAGGGCTGGACAGCCACATCCCAGGACCCAAGACAAGAGACGAAGCCTTCTACTCTGGAGGGGTCGAGGCCATTCTGAAAGCTGAATAAATCTGTTGCTACCAGGGTCCCCAGCCTTCTGACACCCTCGAAGAACTCAGATCTGTGAATTCATTTTCTTCTTGATATCAGGTGTCAGCTCATATGATTGATGGAAAAATGTGATTTTATCATAGGACTTAAGGTTTCAGAAGTGTGTGATGCTCAATCATGCTTACGTGGAGACTTTATCAAGCTACAACGAAATGACTATCGATAACGTGGCCATGAAGTTTGTCATCATCGTGTTCGGCAGCGTAATTGATAGCAAGACGGAGGAACCGTATTTGGCACCTTGCATCATTCCTAAAACCTGTGAGCAGGTAAGGGGTGCCACGCCTCAAGAGCCAGTTGCTGTTCATGGTGCCCATAAGTGGCTTTAAAACCCAAATGATGATTAATTGTGTATTTCAAAATAGCTAGTAGAGAGGGTTTTAAAAGCTTCTAACATCAAGAAAGGACAAACATTTGAGGTCACGGATACACCAGTTACCCTGATCTGACCATTTCACATTGTATGTGTGTATTGGAATGTCACACGGTAACCCCACAAACATGCATAATCATGATGTGTCAATCAAAAATTAAAAGATATATAAAGCTTTTAAAAAAGATGTTGAAAGACAACAAATTCAATAAATGAAATAAGAATAAACAAATAAACCTCAACCAACCTCAAAAAGAATTCCAACCTGGGAAGGCCCTGCAGTTCTCACGGGCCCTCAGCCCGGGGCCTCCGCAGCTCGTCCATGGCTGGAACCCGCCTGTTCTCTGCTGGCCAGGCCCGGTCATGTGTGGGAGGATGGGCTCAGTGCGGCTTCGGCGTGTGCTCTGGGGTGTCCTCCCTGGCTGACCGAGGTGGTGGGGAGGGGCTGGACCCTTTGCTGCCTTGTCTGGGGTCTTAGGTGCCTCTTGAGAGTAGGCCCTGGGCCTCTGGCCTCGTCATTTGGTGCCTGTGTAGCTAAAAATGGGGAAAATGTGAACACTCAGGGCACCAGGGGCATAGGAAAGGTCGAGGCCACCTGCTGCTGGACCCCTGGGGGGTGGGAGGGTGGGACCCACCACTGAGGAGGACCGGAGGCCGAGAGCTGACGTCTTCTTCATCTGGTAGTAAGTTTCTTCTCTTTGGGAGAGAACTTTTCTGTCTGTTGAAACTATGAAAGGGCATTAATAATTTCGATAATTCAGAGGATCAAGGTAATTAAAAATATATATTTATAATAAAAATAGAATTTAAAAAAATATATTTTTTTAAAAAAATATTTTTTCAGTACTGGAGGATTGGCCGCAGGGCCTCTTACAAGCTAGGCAAGTGCTCTGTCACTGAGCTGCCGTTATGACTGGTCTGTGACTGGCGTCTGGAAGTCAGGTTTTGTGGCCTGTGGAGCCAAACCTCTCGGGGAGGGAGTCAGCCCTGGCATCCTGGGGAGGCTGGGCTTGAGCCCTGCTCTCACCGTAGCCTCAGTAAAAGCACCTCATTGTTGGCTGGGGATTCCAGGAAAGTTCCTCTCTGGTTTTTATAAGTACTCGCAAAGACAATCAGCTGGTCTAAGACTTCTGGAAACTACGTCAAAGGAGATTCCCAGTTAAAGAGACAGAGGTTAGGATAGACACCCAGCTCTAGGTTCTGGCCGATTCTTAGACTTTGGGGGGAAGTTGGGAAGCAGCCGACCTAGGCTTCGAAGATGCTCTTTTGCATGATTTTGACTTTTTTTTTTCCCTTTAGATCCAGGGAACTGCGGATGTAAGCAAGCTGTTGGTCATCCAAGCATCTGAGCCGACCAAAAGTGATGGTAACACCAATGTCATGGGTAAGGGAGATCCTTTCCTGTGGTAGGAGCATCGTGGTGAAGGGACGTGTAGAACTCATTCGATCCCCAGGAGGCAATTTGAGAGGGCTTCCTGTGGGTTTTCAGTAGGCCCAATCCTCGGGCCCACCCGGGTTGCTGCATTGTTTCAGGGAGATGCTGTAATCCTCCTCCTCCTCTCTCCCTCCATACTCTCAACAGGGGAGAGGGGCTTCTGGGCTGGGCTGGGGGCCTGCCCTGGTAGGCTGGAGCCACGGGGTACAGCTGTGGGTGGTGGAGGACGCCGAGGGCAGACTCTCCCAGGTGGGCCCGGGAGTGGGGAAGGGGGTGCTCCTGGCAGCTGAAGGTAGTTTGGAACCCGACCCACACCCCTCGGGTTCTCTGGCCCACAGACTTGCGCGAGGTGCTCTTACCCCGTCACCCTGTATGTGCAGTCACTAGACGGCCATCAGCAGCACCTGCGTGGACCGTGCTGCTGAGGACCAGTAAGGCAGACTGTTCTGGGGAGAACTCTGGAAAGGTCTCCCCCACGCTCAGCACCTGCCTTACCAAGTCCCTGCCAGCACTCTCCCCACTGCTGCAGCACGGACACAGAGCCACCCGTTCACACTCATTTTGTATTGGTTCACGTCAGTGATACACTAAGATTCACTTTGCCACAATTATACATACACGATATGCTCCAATTCAGTCCCCAGTACTTAGTTCCCCCACCACCCGCTCCCTTTCCCTACTCTGCTGATCTTTCTGTGGAAGTCATCCTCATTTGTAGCTCTGATCAGCACCATCCCAGTGTGTACAACTCGTGAGACCTGCTAAAGTAATAGAATGCAATTCTTAGGGAAACCCTCCAAATTAACAATTCACTGTCTTCAAATTGTGTGCAAAAAGTGAGATTTTATTAAAATGTTTATAGGTCACTCTGTCTCATTTGCCTAGTTCTTGTAAGATGCAGCCCTACTGCGAGCTGTGCACTAAGTTGGTGAGGAGGAGAGGCAGGCATTAAATAAGTCTTTGTCATTTTCCCTCAACAACAATTTGAACCTCAGGCACCCCTATGGCTCACATTCCACCCCTTGTTCTGGGGTCACAGGTAGCACTGTGTTGTAGGGAACCCCCTCTGCATCTGGGTCGACTGTCCAGGTTGGCCCTGAGATGACCGTTATTACCCTGTCCTGCCCTGCTGCTTCAGAGCCACTTAGGAACACGGTGGTCTGTGGCAAGGTGGCTGGGGACTCAGGGCTTACTATTGGCCCTCTTGGGGTACCCTGAGGGCGACTGAGTCGAATCAGAAAGCAGGGAACAGGCTCTGTGGTTCTTGGGCCTGAGGCCTCCTACTTCCACTAGGCCCTTTGGAATCTTTTTAATTTTTTTTTTTGGGGGGGGGGGTACCGGGGATTGAACCCAGGGGCACTGGCCTACTGAGCCATATCCTCAGCCCTATTTTGTATTTTATTCAGAGAAAGGGTCTCACTGAGTTGCTTAGTGACTTGCCATTGCTGAGGCTGGCTTTGAACTCGTGATCCTTCTGCCTCAGCCTACGGAGCTACTGGGATCATAGGTGTGTGCCACTGTCCCTGGCTTGGAATCATTTTTATTCAAAGGGAAACACATTACTCTGTATTCCTTAGTGGGTTTGAGTGAAAAGTCCCACATGGTGAGCCTGTGAATGGGATCTAGCCAGTACACTGTGTCGGACCCACACACATATTTTCTTAAACATTTTAAAATTAGTTGCCACATGGGAACATGTAGAAAGAAGTTTCGCCTTTTTAAAATGCAGATTTTGAGTTTTTTTTTTTTTTTTCCCTGCAATACGAGATCTGCCGACACTCAGCCCTCATTCCTGTGTGACAATTAGTGAGACAGAATACCAGCTGGCCTCTGTAGAGGGGACAGATGCTCCTCATCTGCCGCAGTCCACAATGCTCCCTCCTGCCTTTACCCAGCCCACTTCAGTGTTTGTGAGACCTACCTTATCATTGGGTGTTTGTCAGCCTGTGTGCTGGGCTTTTGCAAGCCTCTTACAAACCTCTGAGGGAAGAAAGTGAAGAGCCCATTTGGAAGGGAGAATGAAAGGGGTGAGGGAGGCTTATAGGAGAAAGCAGATCTATACTTTGAATGTTCTTCTGTTGTCTTTACTCTTAAATTCCTAATGCATTTTTTTTTCCTGTTCAATGCATGCACTTGGTTCACCTTAGTCAACACTGCTCTTCGAACGACCAAGAAGGAATACAACTGGAAGAGAAAAGACATGGTAATGAACCTGGCACTCTGAAAAGGTTTTTCTTTTTGCATTAAACTGCAGAGCAAAGGTGGACTGTGAGGTCAAGGAGCAATATGCAGGTGTTGAGGAAAGAGGCCCCTTGCTGCAGCTCATTAATTTGGACAAATCGAGATAAAGCTCATCTGGATTACTTAAAAATTAAAATTATAGAGTATTTATGAAATAAGTAACTTTTCCACCCAATTTCCCCTTCCTTGATCTCTTCCCTTGGTATTAAGTTAAAAAGTGAGGCTCTGTGGGATCAGGGTGGAGCTGGGACACTAGTGTCAGGGTGCCCATGCTCCTCCTGCCTTTGGACTCTGCACTCTCGTGGATGTAGGGCACTGGGCCAGGGTGTGTGGCTGCACACTGACCTTGGGCATCTGCCTGCGGTATCAGTTTTGCTGAAAGATCTTTTAACTCTTAGGTTATTTAAAGTGTTTTATATTAAAGTGGACATTATGGAGTAGGGTGGGGAACTTGCATAAATTTTTAAGGAAAACACTAAACATTTTTAAAATGGAAAGTCCTGTATTTTTGGCCCCCACATCTTTTTCTACGTTCCTCAGCAATCATGGCTAGTTTAGGAAAGACTGAGGAGTGCTGGAAACCAGGGCTAGGGCTGGGGAGGGAAGGGGACTTGTCACGATGGACCGAGACAGAGCAGAGACGAGTCTGGTGGGTGGGCGCTGCCCGAAATGCTATGGCTCTAGGGTCTCTGCTAGCCCCCCAGCAGAGCCCATCTGCCCGTGTTTGGGCAGAGTGGAGGCGCAGTAGCTCTGACGGGGCAGCAGGTGCTGGGCCAATGTAGAGTCGGGCCAGGTAGGCGACAGAGCTAAGCGTGGGCTTCAGGGGCCTTCAGTGCCCTACCTCCTTCCAGTCTCTAAGCCAGACGTCAGGTCACCCCAAATAAACATGCATCTGTCATGCAACTGCAGCTTTAAGAGCAGGCCTGTGGCCCACCCCATCCCCACCAGATAGCCACCTTAAGATCCTTCTAAGAAAAATTTTGGTCCTCCTCCTGTCATTTCTGATCCTCAAGGTGGTTTGCAGTGTATTTGTTGGGGGAGGGAAAGGTGCATTGATGAGGGTCATGGTCAATAGCAACTTGGTTCTTTCTATGCAGCCCTCCTGGGGCCATCCTCTCCTTTCTCTTTAAGGGACTGTATTTCACAGGTGGAAATCTAATTGAGAGCCAAGGAATTGAGCTCATCTGTTACTCTCTTTTCCAGGCCTAATTATTAAAAACAAAAATAAAACCCAGAAACTCTCATTTCACCAATGAATGAAACAAAGTTTCCAGTCTCTGCAGTCAACCATACATTAAAAGGAACTTAACTTTCATAATGTGCTTCTTTTCCTGAAGCACACCTTTTGACAGACTGATAGAATCTCCTTCCAGTGCAGAGATGCACATGTAGTTAATTCCAACGCATTACTCAAAGTCAGGTGTTTTAAGGGGGAATGTTCCAGATATTAAAAAGGGAACTGTTCAGTAAGTTTTCTGGTTCCACTTAGCAGGTAAGACGTTTTCCCTGAAATGTTCATAGTCTAATATTTTACTTTTGACCTTCTTTTGTAGCAGGACACTAGGTACCAATTTCGAAAAGGGCATTATTGACACAAATGTGATGTGTGGAGTCGGGTTAAAGGCTGCGCTGCTGTCCTGGTTCGAGTGCTGTAGGATTACCTGACAAGGATTTTCTTAGAAACCGCTGAAACCCAGCTCACTGCTGGATCTCTTCTGTAAGCAGTGGATGGACCGCTGTAAAAACCGATTCTCAGTAGTTGTATAGTGTAGGTGACTTGTTCAGAATTCTTCAGGGTAATGTAAGGTACTTTAAAACTCATGGCCTACCAAATGACACCCTTCTTCTAGCCGAGAGTAAGTTATCAAATGTGTTGTACAATTAATGCATTACTGTCTAAGGCATTAAGACCTGCAAGTTTTATTTGTGAAATTGCTATAATTAATGCCTCCTGATATTTTTCAAAGTCCAGTTACTCTCCCCTCCCCAGTCTGGGGAACACTGAAAAGTGGACCGTGATCCACAGTCTTGGTCACGGAAAGCAAAGTTGAGGAGTTAACATTCCTACGTTCCCACACCTGTTGGTTGTCATTTTTCATTTTATTTTTAAAAGTTAAATAAAGTTGCTTGTTGTGGTTGACTTTTTAATGATGTTTTAAAATCATTCTCATCTCAGTGAGACTTTGAAGATCACATGACACCCAGGGAAGTCATAGCAAGGTGAGAATAGAAGGAAAGGAGAACCTTGCCTTTGGCGTCCCTGTGGGGGTGTGGGTGGGGCTGCTGGTGGGAAGTCCTGCAGGAGCACCACCCACAACCCACAGGGGGACAGGGCCGCTGCTGCTGCTGCTCCTGAAGAGCCTCCTCCTTCATCCCTGGCCTTTCCCTCTCCTGGCCACAAAGCACCTGTAACACCTGGCCTCCCCTTTGCTTCTCAGGAGGAGGGCAAGGCTCTGCCTTCTGTCAGGAAGGGACCCCTCCTGGCCAGACTGCCACTTGGCCAGAGCTGTCTCCGGGCTCATCCTGAGGTGACCTGGCACCTGACCTTGCTACCCTTAACACAGTCAGGTGCTCTTCTTCAGGTCTGGGAGGGCAGTGGGCACCGTAGTGCCCACGGGGCTCGGCATCACCATCACCGGGTTGTTAACAATGGAGCTGTGGCCATCTGAGGTGTCCGTCTCTGGGAATGGGCCCTGGGCTCAGCATTTTGATGGGCTCCTCAGACGCCTTAGTGCATACTGAAACTCGGGGCCCACAAAGGTAGGTGGAGGGCATAGACGCGTGCTGTCCAACTCTGCTGGTAGAACACGTTATCTCCACTACGCGGGGCATATTTGTATCTCACAGGCAAGGAGCGAATCACGTGCCCATTTCTGACCCAACCAGTAACAAAAGGGTGATAATGATCTTTTAACCAGTTAATACATCCTTGTCCTTCAAACCAGAATCAAAGTTGCTCTGCAATTTGCACGACTTCAGAGATGGAGTCAATGGACATCTAAGGGAGTAAATGACTGACAGTTCACTGCGCCCAGGAACTGGCAGCTTGAGTGGCCATTCTGACCTGGCCATTGTTGCTGGTGTACCTCCTCCAAGCTTCTCTGCAGATTTCCATCCTTCCTGTGGAAGTTGAAGGTGAGACCAGACTTTTGACATCATCAGTTACACATTTATCACTCAGAAGGCCATCAGCCCACACATCTCATGATTCTTGAGAAGTCCCGTGAACTGCCTCTCCAATTCCTTGTTTCCCACATAGCTGTGATGATCATGTTAATTCACTTTCAATGAATAAATTCTTGGAAACACAATAGAACTTTTTCTGTTTTCAATAAGGGAACTCTACCTTTCCTGTCTGATAGTGTATTTAAAGTGTACCTGGGCTCACTTGTGCCCTAAAAATGCATATTCATTATGGAATATTTCATATTTGCAAAGGAACACTTGCAGTGTCATGGTTTCAAGCTGTTTAGTGAAAGCACCAGCACGTGATTTGAGGGTACATTGACTCTTTTCCTTGGGCTCTTCCAGCATTTTTAAATGGCATCAAAGTGTGGAGAAGAGGCAGCTGAATGGAACACCAAGGTTCGGATGCCTGAGTGGTGAGGAGCAATAGGTTTACTGAGGTTGGGGGAAAAGTTGAAGGACGTGATTCTGTTTGCTTATTCAATGGCAAATGAATGTCAGACGATTAACTTTAAGAGTCTGAGTAATATTAGAGATTCAGACTCTGCACTGTCAGAAAAGAAAGCTGAAGCCAGACTCTCCATGAGACAAGGACTGAAGAAGGCAGACGTCAAAGGGAGGGGAGCAATGAGGAACCTAAGCTAGAGAGTGACAGGCCCAGGACACAGTCAGAGTCACTAGTTCTTAGCTGAGGCCGGCACTCCCCAGAATATTGAGCAACTTGGGATTTTCACCTACGTGTCAAATATTCTTAGTGTCACTCAAGTTTTACATGCAGAGAAATCAAGACAACTGAACTCAATGACTTGTCAAACAGATGGCACTGGGGTTCATGGTCTATGTAATTCTGTTTAATAAAAGGATGAGGAGTTTCGGAGTTTCATACAAAGGAAGCCAGGTACCTGGTGCTCTGCGTGGAATGTTCCCCTCAAAATTCAGGTTGCAGCCTGAGGATGGGGCCCTTGATAACTGGGATTGCAGGAGAGATCATCCTCTGTTGGTCAAGTAAGGATCGGACAAGACAGCTGTCCATGAGCCAGGAACCGCATCAGACAGACTGCCTGATGTTGGGCTTCCCAGTCTAGGGATGGTGAGAAATGATCTTTACTGTTTCAGCCACCCAACCTAAGGTGTTTAACAGCCCAACCAGACTGAGGCCCACAAATGGGACAGCTGGCACAGTCTAATAAATGTCCAAGGGCGCGTGGATGCACATCATCATGGTCCTTTAAGCCCAGCCATTCCATTTAGGCTGAGGTCATGGTCCTTGTACCGGGGATCACAGTCACAGAGCTCTAGGACCCGAGTGAGAAACCCGAAGGGACAGAGTGGGCCACAGTGTGTGGAAACCACAGGCCCCTGGCCCCCAGCTGTCCTCCAGTGTCTTTGGTGAACATACGCACGGGAAGCCTCTGCCCTTCGGGGCTGGAGTCCAAAACACGCTTTTAAAACGCAACGCCATAGTGAGAATTCTCTCTTCCAGTTCCAACAAAGGACTTTATTTTCTGATCCCCAAAAAGCAAAATTTAGAAAACAGCAACCCACTGCAAGGACAGTTCCACGATACACAGTCTCACCCGCCTCCCTTCAGTGAGCCCTCCCACACGCACATCATCAACCAAGAGCAGCCCGCCGTGTGGGAACAGTCTGCGAGGGCACCTGGCACTTGTCTCGCTCACACCCACAGGGACATCCCCGGATGCAAAGATCCTCTCTGCAGGCTCCCCACCCTCTTTCTGAAAAGTATTCTTTAGTTGTCAGTGGACCTTTATTTTTATGTGGTGCCGAGAAGTGAACCCAGTGCCTCCACCACTGAGCCCCAGCCCCAGCCCCTGAAGTCTCCCGTTTTGAAAGAAATTGATTGAAAACAAAATTTTTTTAACAGCAAAATATAGATGCCTCTCCTTGTCTTCCCACTTCAATTATCTACTAGAAAAGTACAGAATTGAAAAGTTTTGCCCCCAACTTGTGATCAAAACACTGACTATTAAAGAATGTCTGGGTCACTTCAAGTTCCGGGCCATACACTGAGACGGTTACAGAGGGGGCTGAGCGTCCATTCTAACACTCCCCAAATGGGTGACAGGCGAAAATCAGATCAACACAGCTACACACGTTAGTCATCCTGCGAAGGCATGAAGCAAGCTTCCTCCACAACCAACCACCAGTAACACTGAACACAAACCCGCGGAGACCCAACCAGATCTGAGTCTCAAACACGGAGCCTGTTTCCGAGAGCTGGACGTGTGAGCGGAACACTGCTGGTGAAGGCACAGAGTGGGGTCCCGAGGGGTGTTCGTGCCACGTCACTGAAGAAGCCAGAAGAAGAGCGACCCACGACCGCACCGTGATCACACTGATGTCCCCAGGGAGCTGCCTCCGGAGCCGCAGCCGCAGCCCGAGCGGAGACGGCCTCAGGGCTGGGGAGTGTAGCGCAGGTACTTCTTGCCCGATGGCAGCTCTTTGGTGAAGACTCCTTTAGGGAACAGTGCTTTGGCCTCCTCTTCGGGGATGGTGGGCAGGACCATCACACTCTCTCCGACCTGTCGAGAGCCATTGGAAAGGGTGAGCAGCAGCCTCACTGTAATGCTGAAGGTCAGTGGCAGGACCTTGGGGGGGCAGCGCGGGCCAACGGCGCCCTCAGTACCCTGCTGCCCTTGGAGGAATTCTGTGTTTACAGTGGCTCTCTGACCCTTTTGTGAGGGAAGCATTTCCCATCGAGGGCAGTCCTGTCTTACAGCCACCAGTGGCCTGCCACACCCCTGCCCCCTCCTGTCCCTCCCACCGCTCTCAGACTGCTCTTCCCTCACTCTGGATGCCCGTCACCCACCTGCTTCATGTCCTCCCCATGGTGGCCAACCACAAAGCCAGCTCTCCTCCCCGACCCTTGGCAGCACCGGTCGCCACAGCTCAGAGGCCACAGTCCTGTCTACTGGGTGCCCGCCCGCTGGACAGTAAGTCCACGGGGCAGAGACTGCACGCTCTTCTGCTCACCGCTAGCTCCCCAGTGCTCACTGCCTGGGCCCGATAAACGTGCTTCACTAATGGATACAGAATTTACAGTGATTTGCCTGTCAGAAAAAATAAAACCTGGCATCCAGGGCAGCATATTTTAAAAACTGTATGACATGAAGATAATTTTGGGATATTATCCATGTCCAAAATAGCTGCAGATATCTTCAGTGTTTTAGGAATAAGTTTCAGAGCCTTCTACATAGGTTTAAAAGATGGAAGCTTAAGGGAAATGAAATGCTTACTACATGAATACACCAACACTTTTACAGCCATGACTTGAGAAAAATAACCAATCCAGATTTTGTTAGAAACATTCTGTCATCAGGCAATGGTTAGATAAAAGTACCCCCCCCCCCAAATCCTGTTGAGTCTCCCCATCTGAAATGCTTGGGGACGGAAGTATTTCAGATTTTGGAATATTTTTATGGGCTTTATTGCCTGATGATTCCTAACTCAAAAATTTGAAATCTAAAATGTACCATGTCCTTAAGAAGTTCCAGACTTGGGGGCATTTTGGATTGGGGATGCTCAACTTTTTAAAAAAAAGAAAGAAAGAAATCACCATAACCAATTCATTTGTCCAAATTATCTAAAAGCCAGAAAGCGACTAGGGAGTTTATGTATGACAACATATGAAAGTGGAAAGACCGTGTGGCAAATCTTAAACTCAGCCATGAGGAAAACCCTTGAGAGTGCATGGAACTGGAAACAGGGCCCCGGGTCACGCAGACCCGAGTCCTGCTCAGGCCTTCCAGGCAAGTCGGGGGTCTGCCCTGGGAACAGCTTTACCTTCCAATCAACCGGGGTGGCAACCCTCTTTTCTGCTGTCAGCTGGAGAGAGGTAACTACTCGGAGAATCTCATCAAAGTTCCTGCCAGTGGTGGCTGGGTAGAGGATAGAAAGCTTCAATTTCTTATCAGGACCAAAAACAAACACCTGCAAAGCACAGAAAGGAGCATAAGTACGAAGAGTTCTTTCAGTGCTTTTGATTATTCAAGCCACCCAGAAAGCTCTGGTAAAAAGTCGGTAAAAGTGCTCAAGCATGTCAAAACAAAAACAGAAACAAAGCTTCTGTAGACCAAACTGCCATCTGTTTTCTTCTCCATGTTACTGTTCCAAACTTAGAGAAGGAAATTGTATTTGGCCCTGGCTATCCCAGGAAGAACCAATCCGAACATTTAATTCAGAAAAGGCCCTGGGAGGTCTATGCCAAAATTAGGGGTGAATACCAGAAAATAATACTAACGGTTGTACATTTGTGCAGATGGGATTGGGCTTGCTCCCTAGTGGGTAGAGGAAAGACAAATAAGGAGTAAAAACACTGAGCTGTCTTATGAGGGAGGATATGGCCCCCAACTTTAAAGACAGAGCCGTCAGGAGGGCGATAAAAACGTTCCTTAATTCTAGATGACATCTTAGGACAAACTACTTGTTAGTCCGTGGATTTCCAAGAGCTATGAAATGGGCAGTTTAACAATTTAGGTGAGTATTTTGGCCACTTTGCATTAGCATTTCATAATTGATACCCAGCGATTTCGTAGTTGTGGACATTCCTGTTTCCTCCAGTGGGCCTGAGCATGTAGGCGGATGTGTGGCTGTCACTAAACTCACCACACGAGCGGTCACAGGCATGCCCTTTTCGTCCTTCTCTGCTGGGTCCAGCATGCCCAACTGGATGGCGAGGTCCCGATTCTTATCATCAATGATGGGAAAGGGTAGCTTTTCTGTGGGCTCCTCACCATTGTAAGCGTTGATATCCTGGAAGGCAGAGGAAAGGGGGCAGAGAATTCTAAACCTGACACACAATGAATTTCATCAGTTAATGGCCATGATCTTGCAAGGCAGGGAAAGTAAGCTTAATTTTCTCCAAGCAAGTTTAATATGATGATGAATGAATAAACAGTTCTTGTTCCAATTATTCAGACAGGAATAACAGCAGAGTATAAGGCCAAAGCCCTTTTTATGCCCAATTCTCTTAAATTCTGCATGCTTTTATGCTTTTGAGAAGGCAGTTCAGCTTTAAAAGACTTAGATTCCAATAGAAGGGAACTCTAGAACACTACAAAGAACACCAGAAACAATGGAATCATTCACAGCAAACATCCAGAAATGATGTCACATGTAAAGAGAATTCTATGGATCTGGTCCCCACCTAAAAGCCCGTGACTTAGGTATCAGGCTACAAGACAGATATTGAGAAGAGCGTGTATGTCACAGAACTTAAAAAGAAACACAGAATGGACAAGCAAAAGGTAAAGCATTTTAAGTCTGAACTAGAGGAAAGAGACGGACGCACCTCCCTCTCCCTAGGAAAACTTCATTCATGTCTTCAGGCTTCTGGAGGAAATTCAGTTGCATTATTTGATGGAGCTGAGAGGGCACTCCAGTGGGCCGAGCAGCCCAGCGACAGAGGTGGGATACAGGTAAGTACCACCTGGCTCAGCCTCAAGGGGACCTACACAGCACAGCTGAGCTGCAGAGGCTCCAAGGAAGGGGCAGACTTCTGACTGGGCCCTCGGAGGAGGAGTCAGGTTCTCCACTGGGAAAGGCAGGCATTCTAGGACGGAGAGAGCTATGAATGGGACCTGGAGGCAGCTTCACGCACGAGCTAGTGCAGGAGGGTGAAGAACTGAGCTGGGTAGATTTAGGAAGTAAAGAGAACGAGGACTTGAAATTGGGGAGAGAGCGGTGTGCACCCATCTGCAATCCCTGCTGAGACCAGCCTGGTCAACTTAGTGAGGTCCTGTCTTGAAATAAAAATAAAACAAGCTGGGAGTATACCTCAGCCATAGAGCAACTGCCTCCTTGCACGCAGAGGCCCTGGGCTCAACCCCCAGTACCAAAAATAATAAGAGTCTATTTACAATTCATGTGGAGCCTTAAAAGTAAAACAGGTCATGGCACAGCAGGTACAAACCCTTTTTGCATTTCTCAACAAAGACAGGATAAAACTAATGAACTCTGAAATGGGTGACAACAGATTTTGACGTATTTCTTAATTTTATTACCTGAACTCTGTCATCACTGGATGCCTATCAAGTCACCACAACTAGGAATAACCAGTGTGGCTTCGTGTTGGAGGCACCTGGAGGTTTCTTACATAACCAGTTCTATGCCAGAGTCTTGGCCTAATTTCTGATTCAATTACAACTGTGAAGTTCACCAGAAGTAATGAACCTGGGTGTGCTCCTACACTTTACAAGGCCTTATACAACTGTTGCTTAATGATTGCCCCTTGCATAAAAGGCAGCATGCACATCATACCCCTGGACACTGAAGAACACATGCTTCGGCTTTATCCTATACAAGATCTGGCCAGTTCCACTCTTCACCATTTAGTACCAAAAAGAACCTCAGTTTGAAGTTCAAATCCCACCAGCACCATTCTCTAGCTAGGCAGTCTTGGGTAAATGTCTCCAAAATTGCCTGTGAGACACCTTAAGAAACACTGGTTATTCACTGCCAAATATCATAAAGAATGAAACAAACAAACAAGCAAAAACCACCTAAAGGAAGATAATTGCCCTTTTTCTTCCTGAACATGTTTCTTCTGATCTTAAACTTTTCAGATTGACTGGTGTGATCTAGCCACGGGATACAGCCCTGGTGAGCACTCACAAGTCATCAGGGTGTCCTTGACTTAGTCCTACACGCTCGTCAGACCCTAGCACACAGGAAAGCTCTCCTCAAAGGGAGCTGCTATTACTTAGCAGCACATTTAGCAAAGTCCTTAAAATGCCTTCAAGTTCTATTTAGACGACCAAATTTTAGGTCCCAAGTAAACACTTCTGCTGCAAGCAGACAATTTCCTCAGTTCATTCATTCCACAAACGCCGCCTGACTGCCTGAGCTGCACAGAGTCTGGGGCTCTGTTTCAGGGGTGGACAAAACAGGAGTCCACCCCTGCTGGGCTCCACTCCAGTGGGAAGGAATGAGTCAATAAAAGAGCAAAGCACAGTGTGTTCTAGTTGATCACAAGTACTGAGGAGAAGGGAGTTGTAATTACAGACAAGGAGGTCTAAGGAAGGTTTTAACGGGGTGCCCTTTGAGTTGAGGCCCCCAAAGTCAAGCTGCTTAAATATATCTGCAGAGCAAGTCTTCCCAACACGAATGTGGATAGATTTTGCAACTGGAGCCAACAAATTTGTGGATAAATCAGACAAGTGGTGTGAAAAAAATTAGAGGAATTAAGAATGGCTCCTGGACTTTTGGCCTGAGTAGCTACAAAAATGTAGTTGCCATTAGCTAAGAAGAGTAAGACCCTGGGTTGAAGAATGGGACCATTTTGAGAGATGCTCAGCTTGAGATGACTGGACAGCCCACGGAGATGCCAAGTGGCTTTACCCTCCTGGAAGCAAGGAGAGATGAAACCTGAGAATCACCAAGGGAAAGAGTACAGATGTTAGAAGTGGCCCAAGGAAGAAGCTCGGGGCAACTTCAGCAGACATTAAGGGCCGGGAGATGAAGAAGAATCAGACTCCTTCTGAGGGGCAGAACAGTGATGTGGCATCCCACAAGCCAGGAGGGGACATGTTTCAGGACACAGGATGATGGGCTGGGCTGGATGCTACTGGTAATCACCACTGGCTGACACAGAACCACTGGATTTAGAAATGTCAAGGTCACTGTGACGTCCAAGTCAGATTTTCAAATAACCAGTTTGAACCCGAGATTCACTTGGACCTTTACCTCAAAACCAAGCTACTTGATACAATTTACTTAACACACCAGCCTCTATTCTCTCATTGAACAATCAACACAGGAGACTTTTAAAACCTCTGGTCACCAAGAAGTATGTGGGGCTTTCTCCCCACTAACAACCAATCAATTCTGCTTCTGACACCTGCTGGGTGACCTCTAACTCAACTCAGTTTTGAAACTATGTGTACCTGGAGACAGCATCATATGTCACAAGCTGAGGACTCGGTCCCATAAGATTGCCCCTTTCCTCCAATGCCAACTGCAAGTTCCAGGTTGCTGCACCTGTGCTTTTGACTTATGGGCTGTAAATTGTGGCCTATGACCCAATCTTTTCGTTTATTTTGCTAGGGTAGCTCACAGAACTCAGGGGTACCTTCACACTTACTGACTTACTAAAAAGGCTATTATAAAGGACACAGAGGGATAGCTGCATAGGGTGAGGACCGGGGGAGCCCATGCTGTCCCCAGGCACACCTTCCAGCTGCTATTCTGCAGCTCCTGGAACCCAGTCATTTTGGGTTCTTATGCAAGCTTCATTACACAGGCAGGGTTGGTTAAATCGCTGGACATGGGTGATGTCTCAACCTTCAGACTTTCCCCTCCCTAGAGGCTGGGAGGTGGGGCAGAAAGTCCCAATCCTCTAATCCTGCCTGGCTCTTTCCAAAGATCAGCTCTAGTTTGAAGCTACCAAGGGGCCTGGCAGCCATCTGCCAACTTGTTAGCATACAAAAAGACACTTATCAACTGGATGATGCCAAGAATTTTAAGAGTTGTTTGGGAGGACAAAAGAGGGCCAGATATACATTTCAAACATCACAGAACTATACCTTGCTCCAGGCAAGATGGTCCTCCACGCTGTCTATGGAGAGGGCGATCAACTTAACATTCTTCTTGGCAAACTCTGGTGCCAGCTTTGCAGCTCTGCCAAGCTCGGTGGTACACACAGGGGTGAAGTCCCGGGGGTGGGAGAAGAGAATGCCCCATCTGAAAGGAAGAAGAGGTCACCATTGAGTGAAGCGTCAAACTCTGTGCAGCGCAAGAAGCCACACAGCATCTGGGTTAAACCAGGCCCCTCCATTCTTTGTTTTTTAAAAGAATGTTATGAAGACATTTGCTTTTAAACCTTTTGGTTGAGAAATACTTTCCAATCCCAGCTCCAGAAAAGACTCTACTGACAGTTCAATCAAATATTCAGGGTGTTCCCTTCTTTAATAACTGTGGAGCCACCCTGACTCTTTCGGCTAGTAAAATCTGTGCTACTTAAGTGGCTTTTTTTCCCCCTAGCATAGTTGTTGACATTCAGCTCCCCAAATGCCCCAAATGCAAGCAGATGCCTGACTGCATTAATAAACAAGATTATGTAATCTAAAACAAATAGGCTTCTATCCTCCATTTACAAGTAAAATTAAGGTTGACACTTGGTTTCTTCAAAGAGTGGATATAAACTCTTGTAAAGCTACTTTACTGATCCAAGCTGACCTCCCCAAAGCTTGGCAAGTTTCTTGAGCATCAAGAACAGAACACATGAGGGTACCTCCTTCCCACCTCCACCTGCCATTCAACTCCCAAAGCTTCAGGGGAGGAAAAGGCCTCCAAACAGGATGAAGGCAAGTTGGGGAAGGAGCGATACTTACTGTAGAGGTGAGAGGTGTGTGGCATGTTTAGTTTTTAATAACAGGCAATAATCTAGCTCTGAGTAACATCCAGGCCTTAGACTTTATGAAAGGATCAGATGAGAAATAAGAAAAAAGACTTCAGAATTTGTGAAAAACTGAACAGGACGGTTCTTCCCTTACTGTCAAAGAGGTAATGAGTTATTAAGTGGAAGTCTTTTTCCATTGTGAGTCAAGAGACAGTTCTGCTGACTCATGGTGGGGAACTGGTTTTAAGTCACTTCATTAGAAGACCCTCCATCTTCTTGGCCTGCCTTCCCCTAATACTTTACTGCCCTGTTGCTGCTCTTAATTCAAGAGTAATGCAGTTACATTATCCCATTTCCTTCCTTCCTCATTTTCAAAACACAAAAGGTTTCCCCCTTTAAGAGAATGTCCCAGAAAGACCCTGGTAAAGATGTTTTGTTCAGTGAAGATGTGCTATGAAGAAGCTGCCTGGAGCACACACAGAAGTGACAAGGCTCTGTAAACTCCCAGAACACAGTACTGAAAAGCCCTTTGTTTCCGAATTTCAGGGTGGGTTAATTTATTTTTTTTCTCCAAGAAACACCTGGATCAGAAATTGGCAATCTGTCCTGAGATCAAATACAGAATGGCCTTTGGAAAGGCTAATCATGAAGGCCTAAATCTTCTTTTCCAGGCAGGGTTGGCACTGCCATGCCTGACCCTAGGCAGACTTGTGTATCTGTTTGTAGACGCAATATATTTTCCTCGTCTTCCTATTTGTGGCTCCCTAAAAAGATAACCATTTTAATCAAAACCAGAGGCCATTAAGAGATCACAAGCAATCCAACAAGTATGGAAGGCTTAAACAAGGGACATAATTGTTGCTACAGTAAATATGAATATGCTTTAATATGTATCCCTAATCCATACAAAATTAAGAGTTCTGGTGAGATTTTGTCTCATGGGGTGTGGGAAGGAACACACTGGAAAGAGACGAATACCTATACTTGGAGTTTGAACTGGCCTTAGTCTATTTTTAAAGTTCTCTTCTGCTGCAAGGTCACCCCTTTTCTAGCCTAGCCCTTTATTTTCTGAATATTTCCTCTAATCAGAAAGCGGAGAAAGTACTTAAGAGGTTGAAAGCTGTTGGGAGGGCCTGTTGTGCAAGAATCTTTCCCAGGTTCTCTCTACAGGCCTGACCAATTATTGGTTCCTTCCATAAGCTTCTCTGTCACTCTGCATATATATGCATGGACACTGGATACAAAAGGGACACAAATCCAGGAGGAATTTTCCAGCCTGGGAGCAGGGGTATAAAAGGGTCAATAAAACTCCAAAACTAAATAGAACTAGACTCCTCTGGAATGTTTCTGATTGTAACCAAACAACTCACACTTTGCTGATTCAGGAGCTGTAAAAAAGGGTGGCATCAGTTTATTCCTAGGTATTATGATGACAGAATGCCAGGCCAGATCACGGGTCAATCTGGCCAGGGAGACCATGTGCTGGCCTAAGGGGGAGGGGACCACTGGGAAACAAAAGGGCCTCCGGGTGGGGAGTTACCGCGTCCTGGCACCTCTGTGGCTACTTCCCTCCAAGTGTTGCAAGTTCTGGAATGAAGGACACACGTACCCACTGCACGGTCTTGGTTCCTCCGAAAGCTGTTACCAAATCGTATCTTGGCCATCGAAGGAGGCCCTGAACAAAAACTCTTTCAGCCAGCGAGCGGTTTTAAATTTTACGCTGTGTCCAGAAATGGGCCAACCCCACTGCGCGAGCAGAACCCTCAGATAACCCGGGCCGTGTCCTCCCACCTGGGCCTTGGGCACCCACCTCCCCCAGGAAGCAAATTCCAGGACAGAGGAACGGAGGTCTGTGGGACCCGCCACTAGTCCCGGGAAGTGACCGGTCCCTTCCCCCGCGCTCCCTCTTCGGGCCACGTTGCTCGCCCAATTCACTACACCTCCAGGGCCAGCACCCGCCGAGGCCCGGGTCTCCCCCTCCCCTGGAGGGCCGGGGCCCAGCGACCGCGCAGCGCTGGCAGGTGCGGCGCAGGGGACACGCCGCGGCAGGCACGTGCGGGGACCGGTGCGGCGGGCGGCGCGCAGGGGGCGGCGCGCAGGGGGCCGCGCGGGCGCAGGACGAAACCGGGAAGCGCCTCGGAGCCCCGGCCGCACGGAGGCCACTTACGAGTCTCCCAGGAAGTCGTGGAACCGGATGCGTCCGATCGTGGTATTGGCCTCGAAGTTGGGAGCTTCGTCCCCGAGAAGGAGCCCTCCGGGCATGGCGGCACCGGTGACGAGAGGACGAGCAGGCGCAGCCGCAGCAGAATGAACCGCTGGCGGGGACCGAGAGGTGAA